GCAAAAGTGGTCAACTAATTAACGGGGTCTAGCCAACGATTCTACGACTGGCCGGCCTCTGTGTCCATACATGTACACAGTTCATGGCCTATCTCATGAAAGGTCACGAACTGCGAACTAAAATCGCCGCAGCGCACGAACCGCCCATCCCGTATCCACGAAAGTCGAGAGGGCATGGAGCCTACTCATTTGTCTATAGTGGTTTGACCTATAGGATTATTAAGCCCACAATCCATCTTTTGGCGCGTTGAAAGATGTTTTCTTGCCTTGTGCCAATTCCTTTTGATTAATACAAAAGAATTTTCGACTGGATGCAGGTCCAGGCTATTGGCGGGAATAAAAATGCTTCGAAGACTGCAGGCGGAGAGTCTGTCCATGGTCTAAAATATTGGATTATAGTCAGGCTGAATTGGAATCATACCTCTTTTGAGCGGTGAACAGGAGCACTGTTCTGTAACCTTACGGTGTCCATTCGACGTCAGTGAATGCTGTTGTATCTGAAAACATCCTTTAGGATGCCGATGAACACCTTGCTATTTGTCGTCTCCGTCGTTGAACGCCAGATCGGTCGCTTTCCGAATATGATGGCCATCTAAACCATCAGGCGTCAACAGTTCTTGAAAGTTGGTGTCGATAGGGTGTGCTGTTGTAAAACGTTCTTCCCCCATATGACCACTTGGGCCGACTCGGACGCTTGTCTAAAGATAAGACCTCATCACAAAGCTAACTGCTTTTCCATAATGAAAGTCTGTGATCAACATATCCTTGAGCAAACTAAAAAATTCGCTTTTAAGTTTTCTACCTAAAATGGCTTTGTCACGGCGTTTTGCTGATAGAGGCTGAATTCTTTCATTCTTTTTCTAATTATGCGCAAAGAAAACATTGACAGGTGTTCACTGTAACTAACCCTCAGGAGCATATAACGATACTTTTTCGGCTTCCGACGAATGAAATCGTCGTCTTGCTTACTTGTGGGCCGTTTTGGCCCACCTTGCTTAGCTCTAGGCACTGTTTTATTATTAATAACTCTCCAGAGAGTGACCTGGATAATATTTAAAATACTAGCTAACGACTCAGGTGGCAGCCTTTTGGCTTTTAATTTTCGTATGCGCTCAAAGTCAACTTCCGATAGGAATTGTTTCGACATCTTTGTTTCACGGCGTGACACAGAAAAGTGGCATTATGTGGCGCGCAATCCATATGCCTCTGTTTACGCTTACTATTTTCCGGTGCAGTAAAAAAATACTGTCGTAAAAGTTTATTACTGCATTAAACAACATGAAACGTTATAATTTTGATAAAGTTTATAAAGGGCAAATTGGTTCTACTTTTATGAAAAAGGATGCGTCTTTACACACCTACCTCGACCTGATCATCATGAAATCAAGATCACAATTTCTGTTTCCAGAATGGATCTCTTCGGCATTTTTATTCGCTATACAAATGTTTCTTTATGACGCAACGCACGCGAAAAGAGCTCTTAATAGGTGATAATTACTAGCACAGAAAATTACGTGGATATCCAGAAACGTCAAATATTGCCTAGCCTTTGCCTAGTTCCACACAATAAAACAGATCTTACATGAATTCTTCTCAAAAAGGGCATTCTGGGATTCTATTTAATTCCAAAAACAAAACTTACCACACCAGATATATGCCGTACAACCAACACCAATGCCGATTTCCCAAAGAACTTATTTCTTCCGGTGTCTGTTTAAATCCATATATATATATATATTTATTATAGTGGGCGCTCACCGATCAGGTTACGGAACATGCTCGTTCCGTTGTGCCTTGGGGCTCATACTTAAACCCTCGCAGGCAGTCGCACAGCGACGAGTGGTAGACATAGATGAGATGATACCGACAAAGACACGGGAGACCGGAATGGCCATTTCTGGCTTATTAGCCGTCATCAGCCAGTCATACCCAACCCCAAGTGTGGATCACTTGAGATTCGAACCCGGGATCTTTGGTCATGGAGTTGAACGCTCTACCATTGAGCCACGGGCCCGTTGTCCTGTCGGTTGTGATCGGGAATATTAATTATGATAGTGGGCGCTCACCGATCAGGTTACGGAACATGCTCGTTCCGTTGTGCCTTGGGGCTCATACTTAAACCCTCGCAGGCAGTCGCACAGCGACTAGTGGTAGACATAGATGAGATGATACCGACAAAGACAAGGGAGACCGGAATGGCCATTTCTGGCTTATTAGCCGTCATCAGCCAGTCATACCCAACCCCAAGTGTGGATCACTTGAGATTCGAACCCGGGATATTTGGTCATGGAGTTTGACGCTCTATCATTGAGCCACGGGCCCGTTGTCCTGTCGGTTGTGATCCACACTTGGGGTTGGGTATGACTGGCTGATGACGGCTAATAAGCCAGAAATGGCCATTCCGGTCTCCCTTGTCTTTGTCGGTACCATCTCATCTATATATATATATATATATACCAGCGAGGAGGGATGACAGAGAATGCGGGTAGATTGATACAGTACTGTTTCGGGCTTAATGTGCCTTCATTCAGCCAATCATAGCCCTGACCACCAGCAGCTGGGACCAGAAACACAAACATGCGCACAGACGCACCTGGCGCAGTTGATCCACCACTGGGGTCTACCAGATGGGTCATAAGCACTTCATCGAACCGAAGTTCATCAGTGCCTCGCCACCTGTCATTCTCTGTCGCTGCAGATAAGGTATTTATCAATCAGAAATGGGCGCACACCGATCTATTGGCTTCACGAAGCAAACAAGCACCGTATGGGTGGCAAAGGTCACGAACAGGCAACCAATTACTAGGCCGAAGTTGGCCATACGGAGCTTGTTTGCTTCGTGAAGCCAATAGATCGGTGTGCGCCCATTCCTGATTGATAAATACCTTATCTGCAGCGACAGAGAATGACAGGTGGCGAGGCACTGCTGAACTTCGGTTCGATGAAGTGCTTATGACCCATCTGGTAGACCCCAGTGGTGGATCAACTGCGCCAGGTGCGTCTGTGCGCATGTTTGTGTTTATGGTCCCAGCTGCTGGTGGTCAGGGTTATGATTGGCTGAATGAAGGCACATTAAGCCCGAAACAGTACTGTATCAATCTACCCGCATTCTCTGTCATCCCTCCTCGCTGCTATTATGACTTGGCCGACTTCGGCCTGGTAATTGGTTGCCTGTTCGTGACCTTTGCCACACATACGGAGCTTGTTTGCTTCGTGAAACCAATAGATCGGTGTGCGCCAATTCCTGATTGATATATACAGACATACATATATATGTACACGCACACACTCTGGCCAGCAAGTGGGGCCGGAAACACAAACATGCGCACAGACGCACCTGACGCAGTTGGCCCACCACTGGGGTCCAGCAGATGCGTCATAAGCACTTCTGGTCCCAGCTGCTGGTCTGGGCGAAATAAGCTCGAAACAGTACTATATCAATCTACCCGCGTCAAGAACGCAGTATGCAACCCCAATCAGGGGACAAAAACCAGGTCATGGTGGCATATTGCGTCGCCGCCTTTTTGTAAAACTGACGCTTCCGCGCTCTCGTAACTAGATCGAATGTAATCTACTTCTCTTGTGAAAACAAACCCGAAGAATTGCAAAAATGCTCAAATTTTGCATGCACTGTCAGATATCGTGATACCCTCATCATTTCTTGGGGGATCGTGTTCCTGATACATGTGCTCTTTCCCAGGTAACCATGGAGAAATTTGACGTGAGAGCGCAATATTCCACCTGAAACTTTATCCGAGTGAATATCTTCTTTCGCGCTCTCCCTTCTGCCGTTTAGCTTCACCCATAAAATCCGTATTATATGATAACATGGTTTTCTTTCCCTGCGTCCGTGCCCTATCCGCATTCTCTGTCGTCCCTCGTCGCTGCTATTATTACTTGGCCGAATTCGGCCTGGTAATTGATTGCCTGTTCGTGAACTTTGCCACCCATACGGAGCTTGTTTGCTTCGGGATGCCAATAGATCAGTGTGCGCCCATTTTTGCTTGAATAAATACCCGATCTGAAGCGACAGATAATGGCAGGTGGCGAAGCACCAATGAACTTTGGTTCGGTGAAGTGCTTATGACCAATCTGGTAGACCGCACAATCTGCCGTCTACCCTCTGATACATGTGTGTAAGTAGGCAGAGTGATATTACCGGCAAAGAGAAGGTAGACTGGAATGACGATTTCTGACTTATTAGTAGTCGTCAGCCAGCCATATCCAACGCCGTGACATGCAATACCTGGGGGTCTGTCCAGCGACCTGTTGGTTAGAATTCCAGCGCCCTAACCACTGGGCCACGGGCTCGTTGTCCTGTCGGTTGCGATCGAGAATATACAATGGTAAAGGCACGCTCACCGATCGCGTTACGGAACTCACTCGCCCCGTTGGGTCTTGGGGCTCTTTCTCGAGCTCCGCCAGCAACTGCATATCGGCGCGCAATATAAGCAATGTCAGTATTGCCATTCTGGCCTACAGGTCTGTAAGCGTCTGCTATGCCGTGATTCAGCAAATCATGGTCCTCCCAGCCTGGTATGCGCTGGCAGCTCTCTGACACCTGGCCACATGCCGGTATATGTGCTTGCGTTCCCGCTGGGTATACAGGTCGTGAGAGTGGCTGTCATGTCATCTTTGTCCTTTTGACTCGTTGTGGCGTCGCTGCTGTTGGTTAAAATCCTGGTCATTTGCTGTGTGGACCAGAGGGCGTGGAGTGGAGCGTCAAGGTGCGTGTCCGGCCGTGCCAGCCACCTGAGCCCGACCTCACCTCCGGTCTTCTTGACTCTGCCTTGACACCGGGCCCAGGTGGTGAAGGAGGAGACGGTGTGGATAGATGCCGCGTAAGTCTACACTCACTATAAACTAACTCACTCACAAGTCACCGAGCCTGCTGCACCTTTCTGTTTGTAACTCAAAGGAGAAAAGGCGAGATTGGAGAAATCTGTTCTCTGACTAGTTTGGATGCTTATCTTCGAATTTATTCGAAAACGCCGCTGTCCTTAACGGTCTAGGGTGCACTCCAGTCCCGGTCGCACAAACGTTCCAAAAGCCTTAACGAAGCAGTCCTCATCGACTTTTGAGACAGACTGTTTTACAAGGTACAAGCTGGGATTCACGTACTTGACTGCCTCTGGGAAGCCGAGCGATGGTATAGGTGAAATTGTGGCCCACACACGCACCAACTTCTGAGCGTCAAATTCTTTAAAGGTGTGCCGTTCATTTAGTGAACCCTGCGGCTTGGAGATCTGGTTCTGCCAACTAGGAAAATGTTGCACTCTTTCGCGCTGAGCGGCAAAAGCCAGCGATTCGAGAATTGCTAGTGTAGGTTTGCGTTTGCCCGCAGACACTCTACGTTGGCCTCACTGCGTGTAACGCGAACAGTTTGATATCGTCAACAAACCTCGTGAGGCCTCAATCCAGTTCATCAACACAGAGTGGGGTTGAGAACGGAGTCTTGGGATGCACAGCTTTCAACCACCACCTCCGCCGACTGCCGATCACCAACGCGGAGAACTCGAGATCGGCCAATTAAGAAGCTCTGAATTCCCCTCGGGAGATTAGCCTTAACGCATGTTCGGCTGAGTGTGTACAGAGAACGCTAGTGTGATGCGCTACCGACAGCCTGATTAAAGTCTGTGTGTACTTAATGCCCCGCATTCTGTCCATTAGCCACTCGATTCCAGCCTCCTAGACAGTAGAGCAAGTTGTTTCACACCTGACCTGCCTCTCCGAAATCCATGCTGGGCAGTGAAGAGTAGATTGTCGTTCAGTTTAGTTTGGTTTATTTGATGTATGCAACTTCGAACTCCCTATTAGTTACATCCGGCGGAAGTATGTCAAAAATTCGCAAAAGGGGTGATATAAGTGAAGAAGAAGAAGAAGAAGAAGAAGAAGGAGGAGGAGGAGGAGGATCGAGCATCGGAACATTTTGTCTACTGTCCTGAGTTTTCGGACTCGTGTAGGAGTCCATCGTCAGAGGTATTAGCAGAGGGGTGATATCAAAGAACAACAAAGGAAATATCGAAAACCATACAGGTAGACGAAGTAACACTGACAGCATTGAAGACATACACGTAGGGCAGCAATACAGCAGTTACTTGGGACTCACCTACGCTAGAGCGGAAGTAATGTGGTCCGTCGTCTGCAAACGCCATAGTAAATGACAGCAAGGGGCTGCGCAGAGGTCCGTATGTGAATAAATTCTAAAACCCAACATTACTTAAATAGAAATAAGTTGTTTGCATAAGGCATCAATAACAGGATGCTCTCCAGGTGCGCTGGACAGGAAAGGGGGCCAAACCGGCGCATAGTACGTATAGTACTGTTTTGAGTCTTCACAAGTCTCTACCTACCGCAACACACGTTTGTGGCGCATCTTGGACACAGGAGCCCACGATGTCAGCCAACACATCTAATCGTATTCCAAGTCGGTTTGGCTCGGACCAGCTACTGATATGTCGGAAAGGGGAGGAGAAAGAGCGTGAGGTCGATACTGGGCAACCCAGTGCCATGAAGTATCGGGGCATTTGTCACTTATAATGAATCTGACGCGCTATCAGTCGCGGACTGGACGGTTGACAACTGGGGTGGTATCTTGTTCTTTCTCAAGACTCAACGTCAGGTTGCAACGACCCCATCTAAACGCGGCCTTTCTGGAATTCTCGCTCGTGTGCGAAACGAGACTCCGTTAAATGTAGTCCGAAAGCGTCAGAGACAGGGCCGCGTACGGTCTGGACAGACGGATCGTCCGCCACTGCACACACACACGCCCACCGAAAGGTCCTCTTAACGTTGTATTGCTATTGGAGCGAGGCAGGTGAGGGAATAGAGAATAAAGTAGATGCAGTACAAGTTTGCCTCACTATAAATGAATTCGCGAACAAGTCAATCCTCAACCCGACTCATGGAACAGCGGTCGTTACAAGCGGAAATACGAGTCCCAGGAAGTAGTTGAGAAGAGGTACAGACAGTAACCGATCTCATGAAGTGTAAACCGAAATTTTGAAATGCGTTTTCGATTAGGAAATATTACTTAAGTGGCGTTGCAAGGTTGATTATCTTGTGGCACAACACCGTCATATTTCAGACACAACAAAATGTTGACTTCCGAATGCGCCTTTTTTGACCGTCTGCAAAGACCGCACTCGGTAGAAATTGACTACCTATCTATTACGCATTTTCTCCGCCGATTTTCAATACTTTTGTAAATTCAAATATGTTTTTTTCAGAAAGCATGCACGAACATATTCTTTCTTACAGTCATTTGTTAGAAAATCACGCCTTCTTTAGGTTGTATATTCGAACAAAGGGCATCTTTGGGCTTTTAAAAGTTTCTATTCATGAGATTTTTTTGTTTAGTTACGTTCCTCGTCAAGTACACAACGTAGCCCACATCCCTTGCAACGTTTTATAAGCTTCATACGACATTTTCTTAGTGGCATAAGGAAAGGTATGTTTTTCTTCACGCGGAAAGTTTTCATCCTGTAAACTGTAAACGCATAATAAAAGTGCAATGGTAGAGGGAATTCAAAATTATTCGGAAATCGAGAAGCTTTTTTAAAGCCAAAAGATACCCTCTCCGGGAATACACAGTTTAAAAAAGAAATTATTTTATACAAAATGAGTGAAAAAAATAAAAGTTTTGAGGAAGTTTTCTATGAGATGTATTTGAATCTACAAAGCCATAAACAAGCGATGGAGAAAATGCATAATAAGCAAGTAGTCATGTTCACCGAGTGCGGTTTTCGTAGGCGGCCGAAAAGAAGTGCACTCGAAGACATGTCAGTTCGACCGTTGTTGCCGACGATGTTCACTGTGTGCCCCACGGAAAGATGGATCAGGCACGGTGACTTGCGTGTGAATTAATTTATGGTGATAGTAGACTTGTGCAGCATCCGCCGCACTCTATCCTCATTCCCCCATCTGAACCCGGTGTCAAGACAGAGTCAAGAAGACCGGAGGCGGGGAAGGACGCAGGTGGATGGCATGGTCGATCCCGCACCTTGGCACTTCATTCTACACCACCTGGTCCACACAGCAAATGACCAGATCTTTGACAAACAACAACAATGGGGGGGAGCGGGTTCTAATGTGCGTGAGGTCCACCATCGGACACTCAAAATGTAGGTATTTGTTATGTTGCGCATTCCGATAACGCCTGCCAGAATCCGAACTACTGAACTCGGTTGACCCAGATATCCAACTTACGATGGAAGCAGAAACAAACAACCAACTGTCCTTCCTTGACGTGCTTGTGCGCCGGTGTACAACTGGACAACTGCAAACCGCTGTATTCCGAAAATTCCCCGAGACGAGACAGATCCTACACTTCAACAGCAACCATCCTGCCTGACAAACGTAGCTGTGTCCGCACTCCATTCCAACGAGTCGAAACACACTGCAGCACGCCAGAAGATAAAAGAGTCGAACTAATGTGTCTTCAGAACCTACTTGCAACTTATAGTTATCCCAGTTATTTTATCGAGATAAGCAGACGTCGGGCGCACGGACGACGGCCAAACGAGCAGAAACCTGAAGTCTGGAGGGCCATTCTCTACGTTAAAGGGGTCTCTGAGGCGGTCTCTCGATTGTTAAAACCTGCCAGAGTAGGCAAAGCCCACCGACCCCAGGCAACAATTCGACGTCGTCTGATGCAACCTAAGGACCCATTGTCACCCGTCGAAACCTCAGTAGTTATCTAGAAGATAAATTGCGATAAGGGCGACTGCAACTATGTGGAACAAACCGGGCGGAAATTGCAGACTCGCCTACAAGAGCACAAATAGGCTACTCGGAGGTTAGACCCTAACTCTCAATTAGCAATACACGTTGGAGAAACTGGGCATGCCTTTGATCTCCAGCGAGCTACCATCTTAGGCCAGAGCAACACAAAAGTAGAACGGCTAACTCTCGAGGCGTGGCTCATCGATGGCCATTTCATCAACAGGCACCTGGACTTTCCTGCAGCTTACAAAGTCCTACGTCATCACAATCGTAGAGCTCAGGACCAAACAACCACGCCGGACCTAAGAAGGTCATATGGAGACAGCCCGACGGCGTGTTTACTGGGTGAAGAAGAACAAGAACCGCCAAACCGACCGCCCGACACTAGTTCAGTCACCTTCCCCCAACGGAGTGTTGACTTACAAAGCACGTAGACAAGACGCCCTTCAACCGTCCTCCGCGAAGCCGAGGCAGCGAGAGAAGAGAAAAATCGATCAGCACGAGGCTGACCAACGTGACACACCACTTGGGACCTCTGGTCGATTAAGTGCATTTTACGCTTTGACAATGGAGAGCCGACCAAGCTCTTCGAAACGTCAGCATCTAAATAAACCTGTTCCAGTGAGCCCTTCTTCTTCTTCTTCTTCTTCTTCTTCTTCTTCTTCTTCTTCTTCTTCTTCTTCTTCTTCTTCTTCTTCTTCTTCTTATTCTTATTCTTCAAAGAATCCGATATGGCCCCCGTGTTGGTCCAACGCATCTACCATGTGTCCCATTTGAGGGACACAAGGAGTGTATTCAAAAACACGCACACTGGCGTGTCTGAAATATTATAGGATTATGCCGCAATATTGAGAATGTAACAGTACTATTTAAGTAACTCTTCCTAATCGGAAACACATTTCATAATTTCGGTTAACATTTCATGCGGTCGATCACTGACTGTAGATGCAATCATTGGAACAAGAGCTTTATTCGGTCGACGTTTATGGCCCACGCTCGAGCCCATCACCAGAGCAAAATTAACGGCTCTCCCCTCATCAAGGATGGCTACCCCTGATGCGATAATTCCTTGATGGCTGACATGCAAGTAGTTAATTGTTGAAATTTCCACACCCGTGTTGGATGTCAGCGTGATAATGGCCTGGTCACCTGGCTCGGGGGCCTGCACATGCTCGAGTGGCTAATTACGCTACCCAGGCTACGTTTCAGGACTTAATATGGGGGGGGGGAGAAGGTCCTCGCACTTTTAACTGGACTGGGATCCCGTGTACCATGATGGGCTCGAGAGTGAATCAGAGACATCAGACGATTAAAGCTTTGTTCCAGCGATCGCATTTGCTCTTCTCACTTCCTTCCTGGGACTTGCATTTTCGCCTGTCCTGGGTATATTCACTCTCTGCAGTTCCTGCGAATCCCTCTAGATTTAGAGCACGTTTTAGTAATTGTTGGCTACGTAAACCGTTTTTGTCACCACAACATGCCTACTTATTGGATTTTGATAGGCACGGTATATTTGGGATGCGTTTTCCGTTAAGCCATTTCCAGTAATCATCGACTTGGAATGTTAATTTGCTGTGGGAGTTAACGAAGCTCGGCTTATTTCTGTAACGTCAACGCGAACTACTTAGCTAGTCTGCGAAAAACACTTGTCGTAAGTTTACTTGAATGACTTAATTTGCTTTAAGCAAAAACTGTGCGATATATCAAACTTAAAGTGAGGTACAAATTAAAAGCCCAGACACGTGTTTCGCCGATATTCTACCGCTGCAAGACATAGCTGAAAAGGGGTTCGGTCCGTAAGTTAATTCCCCAGCAGCAGCCTCAAGATTTTCAAAGGCCTTTTACACTATACCTCACAGGCTCCTCCTACAATACTTTGGTCAAGGGGACCGAAGACATTTTTCCAGCCAGCTTGAGAATATTCCTGTTTGTCGTTTCCATAGTGTCTGTACAAGTGCTAGCTAAAGGCCCCAGCATGTGCTTCGGCGATATTCTGCCGTTGTATGGCAAAGCTTCAAAGGGGTTCGGCTGATCGGCGCGTCCCCTAGCCTTGCCCGTGTCTGGGCTTTTAGCTTATACCTGTGCTGTCAAGAATCTGTGAAGAATCTGCTAGCTAAGAAATCAAAGATCCACGTTTCTCAAGAGATATAAGAGATGCTGCATAATAGTAAATGACCCTGCTAGGCGGACGGTTAAGAAGAATTTCCGAGGGGCTACTAGATGCCTTGGAAGGCACCGAACTCGACTAGCAGTTCAACAGCGAACGGATAAAATTTTATTATAAACTGTGTAGAAAGAAGGTCTCTGCTAAAACCATTCATTAATTCTAGCCGTTAAGGGACGGCCAAAATTACTTGGCTTAAAACTGATGATTTTGTGAAACTCGATCTTGTCTTCATGATTTACGGTTACGTATTATCCGCCGAAGAAATGCACGACGGTCGACGGTCGGTTCCGGCGGTGTTCGTATTGTGCTCCACAGCCTGAGGGAGAAGCGTCAGGGCCTCGTGCGTGAGTCAGTTCATAATGATAGCAAAATTGATCAGAACCCCCACACCCTTTCCTCCTTCGCCCACCTGCGTTCCGCGCCAGGATAGAATCGGGAGGCGTGAGAGCACGCCAGTTGTTGGCGTAGCGAAAGCCTGCATCTGAGCTTATCGCCACACTCCCTGGTCCACAATACAAACCAATCAGAATTTCGGACAGCAAAACAGGGGTAGCTTGGATTCCAACTGACGTTGGGCGGCCTGGCACCTGGGTGTGTCGACATATGCCCAAACGCTGGTGTTTACTATGGGTAAGCATTCCCAGTAACGGCTGCCGAACCCCGATCTAGCTCATGTGTTGGTCCCGCACGTCTATCGCATAGCTCGCTTTAGGAGTTAGGCAGGCAAATCGATGGAGCAGGAATACGCGACAGAAATTCTACGGGTCTACGGTTCACGGCCGATCGGGGGTGTTTCCCCGGCAATTGAGTGCTGGTTAGTTGTCAAGCGAAACAAGACGGAATAAAACTGAAAGCCTTCAAGGGGTTAGGGTGTAGGGGAAACTCGGCTTCGACCGTTGGTTTTATAATAAAAAAACGCAAGCTGCGCCGCCTAAACGGAATATCTGTCTTGTTCTTGACTCTCGTAGAAACAAAAAATCAATTCACATCATCTATGCCACACCGATGATCTGCAATTATACATCCTGTTGAAATCATCTGTTTCATTTAACTCGGAGCCCAAGACCAGTCTTCCCCTCTCTCCAAAATACGATCAAACCAGCCGATAACCCCTAAATTTTTTGTCCGATATATAATGGTCTTTCATTTCCAAGGACCGCAGCATAACATAAGTCACTCAAACGACGTTGTTTGATAGCTTGTCATAATTGCTGTGCTCTGGAAGATAGATAGTTCTCTCATAAAACGACTTCTATATTGCACACTTTCAAGCACATCAAGACTTAAATCTAATACACTCAATGTGCAAATGAAGACGACCAGTTCATCTAATTCAATTCAATTCAATTCAATTATTTTTATTAAAGACCCGTCGGGGTCCCATCAAAGTATTTCCTGTGTCTCAATCAGACTAAAGGTACGCAGCCGATGTTCACATCAGCCTATACCCTCAGGTTATATTCCATTAGCAAACAGGGGCTATATCAATAGAACTAATTATTGAATAACCATAATCACTGGAATCAATGAGAATACAGTAGGTGATTCATTCCGTTAGATTATCAGAAACCCGTAGTGATCGCTCGCTGACGCCGACCTCTACGGGCTAGTTTTTAAGTAGGGTGAGGGACAATTATGCCAGTTTCTGACTTCCTGTCCGGCGCATCGAGTAACATATTAATTAGTTCAGTAAAGCTCAGTATATGTAAGGGGTATAGGTGGAGCCCTAGAAAACCCCATTTACATATATATGCAGAAAAATGGGCAAATGTTAACACAGCCATTTGGATACATAATATCGGTTCTAGTTAAGTAAATAAATGACTATCATGTAAAACGCTATTGCGTCTGGTTTCTAATGTCTGACCATTTTTTCGTCAGAACAGTCAAATTAGGTATTTTGTTCCACTCTTCAGTCAACCGGTGCGAGAATTTGACCCGTGATTAAAGCCAGGAATTAACATCGGTGACTCCGGATATCTTTAATTTGTACGAGTTGAAAAAACATAGACCTATAGAAGTGGGAAGTCTCTCCCTTTGGCGATTCTGAAGACCAAGACCATGTCCTTGTTAAATTGCTTGCAAGAGAGAGGAGAAGGGTAACGCCCTTCTAGTCGTCCCTCATAAGGTATGAACTTCAATTCGCAAACTATTTTGGTCGCAATTCGACGAACGCTCTCCAAAAGAGTGCATTCTTGCATTCTCGGAGTGGCACGCCCGAACGCATTGTTACAACACGGGGCAGGTAAATATTCCAAAAACTCGACCATAAAGCTCTTCGGCAAAGCTAAGGAAGGATCTCCTGATTGTTTTACGATATACATGGACTTCCTTGCTATCTTGGCGCAGGGAGCCAAAAATATGACAGTGGGTGTGATACGCACACCTAGCTCGTTTACTTGGTCGAGTTAATGGCCTCTAATGAAATACTTATATTCAAATCTCATCATGTTTCTGCAACTAGACCGTAGGCGAATGATTTGGCATTCGTTTAAATTGAGGCTAAGGAGCCACTATTTGCACACCTGTTACAATCGATCTAAGTTATTTTGCAAGTTCATGACATAATCTGGCCTTTCTAATGTACTATACGTAATCGGCCATTGGTGAACATTACTTCTTCGCTAATCGGGCAATCAATGCAGTCTTTACACACATTAAACGCAAAATGGGACTCAGAGAGTTCCCCTGCTGAACGTCACTAGAGACGGTTTCCCACTCCGATATGGCGTACCGATACAAACATGCTGACATTTGCCTCTGAGAAAGTCGGCCAGTCATTTGGTTTGGTTGCCCTCCAAATTCATTTGACGCAATTGAAATATTAGCCATTTGTGTGGCACCCTACCAAAAGCTTTGCTGAAGTCAACGTAGACAGCATCTACCGACAAGCCCATTTCCGTGGATGAGAGTAGATAAGTGAGACAGAATCGACCGCTACTAAATTCGCGTGGATACCCACGGTGCGAGACCTCCTCCTCAATTTGTCTCATCATCTTCCTTTTCATTATTTTCTCCAGTGGTTTGCATCAAATGCTTGTGAGACTCACTGGTCTGAAGCATATTCGATGAGGTTCTATCTGTCTCTCTGTCTCTCTGTTTCTCTCCGTTTATATACAGAGTTCAAATATGACTGGCTCCCACTCAGTGGTCGAAGCCCCGCATCCATCGAACTTACAAAGATCTTGGATAACGGGGAGGCCACTTGGCCTGCTAGTTCAATCAGAACTTTCACTGATATGGCCTCTGGACCAGGCGATTTATTGAGCTGTAGCTATCCCGGAGGTTTCCTTACTGCGTCTGCTATTAACGTCCCCTTGTTTGATTGTATATGTAGGCGTGACAGTTTACCGGTGTACTTTTTTCTTTTGAAAAACGAGCTCCTTGTTTAACTCGTATTCTTTACAGTTCTTTAGAATTTAATAATTAAAAAAATAGATCTGTGCGCATGTCTCGGCTGCACAAAAGGGTTGATTTTGTGAGCTTATTTGTTGAAATTCCGTTGGATATTGATAACAGTGCACGTATTTATGTGATCATATTAGTAAGGTTCACTGAATGTAATTTAGAAAGGCAAAATATGCGTTCCGTCATTTGCTGACCCAATTAATATTTTAAGCAATACAAATTGCCAAGTACTCACATTCCATTCCACACTCCTCTCATGGCATGCACGTTTGTATGTTGCTACTCATTTGCCTAAATATCAGCGAGAAGGTAACTGCCACAAGTCAAAACGAATACTCAGCGTTTCCGTCGCATTATAACTATTCACAGACAACCTGTATAATCAGTGGGTTGTTGGTTCAGGCAATAATATTGAAGATCCCTACCTCCCTTGGACGGGCAGATATGGCGATTTTTCGGAGGGAACAGGAACAATCGCATCTGCGTCTACTAAGATACGCTATGATTATACTTGAGTCCCAACTTGGCCCTATGACGTAGGTATTTGCGTAGCGCTGGGCACAACTCTCACAATCTTAGGATTAGGATTGATTGAGAATGGGGCGTATTGTTTCCAGTGGCAAAAAAGAGTTGGCAAAATCTTTATAATTTTTTGTTTCTTTATAATCCATACAAGAAGGTGGTTTTTCCAGGGTGACAAATTCATTTGTAAAGTCTGCAATGTGCGCCTATAGTCCACAGGCCGCTCTCAGAGTTCTCATTTTGTTACTTACTTAAGTCGCAGAGATGAAATCTCTGTCTAGCCGTCATGCATGCAACTGCATAAAAGTGTCGTTTTATTCCGAACGCTACAGAATAACAAATTTACAAACATTTGACCTTAGAGTTTTAATAAGTCACATAGAGCCCCTCGCCAAGGTCGCGAAAATGGTGGCGAACATAGCAACATATTGACAACTGCTTGCCCTGAATTGTTTTATCGGATTATCCGCAATTTTCGTTTAAAATATCAGTTTAAGCTTTTATTTTTGTAATCCCTGAAATGAAATCGAATGCATCGAAGAATGCGCTTTCGACAGTCGAAAGGGCGGTCAAATGTATGTTCACTCAAATAATAATAGGCAATAATTCATTGAAGCTGTTCCATATCCTCCCACTCATAGGCTCAAAATTTCCGACATATTCGAATCGCAGGGAAAACCCAATATCGAAATTTTGAAGCAACACTTCATCTTGGAAGGCCGTTTGACGGATGACGCTGCACTGAAGATAATAAACGATGGTGCTGCGCTACTACGCGAGGAAAGAAACGTTCTGGAGATTGAAGCGCCAGTTACAGGTAAAAATACACGTTTTCGCGTGTATATTTTAGAGTTTGTTTCTTGACAGCCGCGTGCTTAACAGGTTACCACTAAGTCGTTTTTTTCACAGAAACCTAACTCCATATTACCCAGAACACATGTACATATTTGACTGCTCTTTGTCTGCTTTTGCATGATTCATTTTTGATGGGTTCCGCTTTAAATTTTTCTCCTAAGTATTGTTCATGCCGTTTCTATTTCGGCTATAGTTAGCCACTGGGATTTACGTTTGTCAAGGTTTTGTGAATTTCAAGTGGACTTGCTAAAACAAGGCCTGTTAGGTCTTATCCCGCTTTTATGCAAGCACTGTCTGAAGACCTTCGCCCCAAACGCCACAATACGCCTGATGAGTTATATTTTGTTAACGTTGCAATGACTTCTGCAATCGGATTAGACGGACTTATGAACCTTTATTGTTCGAGCCCCGGCAATACCGCTATGTGCGTCGCTGTGTTTTCGCCTTTTGGGCCTACTGTGGTGTTTTAACGAGGTTCAGGTTTTAAATATCGGACGATTTAACCACATGTCTTCGAGTGGCATATTTCCGCAAATGTGTAGTACAGCAGTCAGTCTTTCTGAATTTATTGCATCCCATTGCGTCTGCTAAGGGTCTCAGCGCATAGTGTATCCTGTCTTCAACAGCTGAATATACTAGTCTTGGATATTCAAACTGCAACGACTCGCATGTATATCATTGATTCTACCACACCTTATCCATGGAGTGGGTAGGATACCATGAATTCAAACGCATCGGCCGTATTATACGTTGTTAAACATTTTTTCCTTCTCCAAAGCTGCTTTTGTGAGCATTTCTCCCATTTTAAATTTTATGTGGCTGAAATCCGATGTACGTTTTACTCATTCGTATGAAATATCTACGTTGCCCTTGTGCCACAGTTAAAAAGACCTTTTTCCGCTTTGAATATTCGCACTCGAAATTTTTGCTAGGGCTGCTTCTGAGCTAGCTTTATTGTTCGTACGTAGATTTTGAAGAGCTAACATAGAAGTTTTTTCTCGTGGTATACACCACTACCCCACGCCTATGATTAGGTGATCTTGGTAGATTATTTTGACGCTTCAGTTTAATCGGGCATTGCAGTTATCTTTGTTCCCACTGCATACTTAAAATCTTAAGTGATCCCTAGGCTGGAAGAGGCCTTGCTACTAGTGTTTCTAGCATATTCAATAAATTGAATTTTCATGGTTTAGTTAGGAAGTATAGCTGTATTTTCTCCGCCCTTTCTCAGGCCTTTCATTATACCAATTATCCTCATGCAGCTTGTCGGTAGCATCTATTCTTTGCAGATTCTCAGACGATCCAGTTAGTTTGGTGATTTGGTATGAACTTATAAATTCAGCTAGCATGTGGAAAGATTTTGAAGCACTGTGCTTGCCTGGCTTCACGTCTAGTCAATAGAAGCGAACAGGCGAGTTCCAGGAAGCAGTTAAGAAGAAGCGATCGCCGGAATAAGAAGCTCTTTTGCCTGGCGTTTCGGATTCTCACTCGAACCCATTGTCAGAGACATTTGCAGAGAAAGGCAGTGGAGGCACAGACTGCAGTATTTATAGTACGTAGCGGCCGTGGGGACACACACATACTATAATTACCAGCTCTCCCGATCACCGCTGGGGTCGTAGTTGAAGTGATTATGGCTCGTCAGTCCAGATCCGAGTCGTTAATTGCCGCAATTTCATCATGCGTGTTGGATGTTGGCGTGATGATTGCTCGGCAATTTGGTCCGCTCTCACCGGGACTATTGCTCCCCCACGCCCTCCCCACGTGACTGATTCCCCTGCTCAGGGAATGTCTGAACACCGAATATGGTACCAGGAGGTCATTGCGTTTGTCAATGGATTAAGAGCCTGAGAACCATGATTCGACCAGCTCGCGGCTCACGTGGTTTTCACCTCTTGCAAAGATTTTGGCCCCTTGAAACTTGAAAATGTGGCCGGGTTCACGTCTAGTCGTGGCTAATCAACGGTAAATCACATTACGCTAACTTGATATAGTGCTTATCAGTAATCAGTAGAAACACTAAAAGACGACGTCTGCAGAAGTACAGACCGTTTTAATCATATCTAAAACTGAGAGGATTTGCAAATAAAATCGACAGGTAAAATTTGATACTAGCGTCAATGCAAGCTGCAAAGCCTGGGCTCTGCGCTGCGCACGTTTTTAAACCAGCTGCTTAAGAGGCACCGTTCGGCCAAAGAAGATAAGGGCGAGTTAATTTATCATTGTTTTGCAAATGATGACGATCGGCGAAGGTGCCGTTCAAGTAATGCACGAAATACAATAGTAATCGTAGTCCTAACTTCATGGGCACTCTGCCGGTCACAGAAGATGCTGACATGTTCGCCTTCCTTGTAAAGAAATTCTTGGGAAACATAAACGTGCGTCTTGACACCATGTGAATTAAGAGCTTCTGGTTAGTTGTTACGAACGTCCAGTGCGTAAGTGGTGTTCGAGGGGGTTGAGGACATCAAGTTGAGGCCTTATTTCCTTGCCGGGTGGATCGTAAACTAAGGTAATTTCCTCTAAGCCAAACGAGTGCTGCTGATCTTCCTCACGTTTTGGGACAACCTCAATGGCTGAGGAGGCAGCGATCTCCACTTTTTATGGTTGAACAGAGGGTTCTATTATCATTGATCACCTATTATTACTATAGTGGCCAAAACCCGAACACCTTGCTCAGAAGTCGAAGAAGACTAACACTTTCCATACAAAGCGTCTAAGCCATCGTATCCTGCATCTTATTAACAGTGAATTCGTTGAGAAACGTCACCGTTTGCTGAGAATTATGTCACTGAAGCAAAGAAAGTCCGTCGTATCTCTGTATAAACTATTTGCATCTCTTTATTTGTTGTCAGAACATAGATTGTCGCAAACCATGTTGTCTTCAGTCTTCTAAACACAAACGGACGTAGTCGAGTACCCACTTAGTTAGTGAGAAACCCTGTCAGACACGACGTCACATTATGGCTAGCGGATCGTCTGAGTTTATTCTTCCTGTTTCAATCTCTTACGTGCGTCTTTACATAACTGTTATTTCCTACGATAAAATAAGGTGCGGACAACTGCTGACCCAAACTATCGTCCGCTTTTCAAGTAGTTAACATGTAAAACATCACAAGAGTACTGGGCAATTATGCGGAAAGCCAACGTGGGCAGTAATTTTGTTCTTATTTTTTGAGAATTAATCATTAAAGATATAGACACAAATATATGTACAATACCATACCTGCCTCCGAGTCCGCTAACTTCCAAACCGTTCGCCAGAAATCCTTTTAGACTGGATTTTATCCCCGACATAACATAACACCTACGGGACTTCTCCGGCCGACATCTGTTTCGGAGTCTCCTCACGTACTCCGAGTCTCTTTTAATTATACGTGATACGGCTGCGATTATACCTGATATAGCTGGCTTCGGTCGTGTGACGGATTTTACTTCTACACGCTTGAAGATCTGTGGCAGCGCATCTAGTGGGCGCAGCCCATTCTGTTCTTCATTGACGGAGGTCGAATGCCAAATATCTAAGAACCACTCACATCTCTTGACGGCCTGTGTTGAGCCAGTTTTTGAGCTGACTCCTCCGGCGTCTCCAGATGGGCGGCCGCGCCATATAAAGAACTGTAACACTAAACATATGCTACGTACGGCGAAAGACGTGCCCAAACTATCCCTGCTGCGGTTTTTGGATCTTGGAATATCTTTGTGGTTTGTCTCAGTGACTCAAACCGAAGACGATGTGTTTCACCCAAAGGACGATGCCAAGACTCCAGCGTACAACTTCCAGTTTTTGTTTGCCCAGCTCAGAATTCACAGCCGCACCAGAGAACTGACCGAACGGATCTCCGCCACGGTGACGATGTCGCATCGAGTCAGTAGGCGCTTTCTAATGATTACGAAAACCCTCGCGGGTAGCGCCGATTTGTGAGAAAATTTTGTTCATGCTGTTATTTGTCAGCAACTTCATCTCGATGTATTTTAAACTGTCCATTTATTCTGGCGCACAACAATTAATCCGGAGTGACTCCTTCTACAGTTCAGAAATGCGGTTCGATAAAACTTGAGTTCTCTCAACGTTTATAAATATTTCAGATGTAGCTATCTTATTCGCTCATGAAGGCTTGTCCACGAGTTCAGTCGCTGATGTGGTTGAACAGGATGGGCGACAGAGGGCAGCCAGGGCGCATTCCAGACTGAATAGCGAGCGACTGGAAAAGATCGTTGCGGACCAGAATTCGCGCAGTGGTGAGCGGTAACAGGCTCTGATTATGTCGAGATTTCTGACGGCCTACCGTCTGGCTCCATAATCTGCCACATGGATTCATGATAGCCGTGGCTGAACTCTGCGGCACAGCCGTAAATGGAGACGTCTGTCGGTTTCTGGTAGTTACGGAGGAACTCAGGAATGTTTCGCAGCGTGGGTATCTGGTTGGTACATCGGTGCTCAGCTCAGAATTCTGTTTAGTCGAGTCACCTCTTGAGGTCGCACACACCCCGAAACTGCTTGAGGATCGTCAAAGAAAAGACCTTTGTAGCAATGCTGATGAGTTGTATGCCACAACAACTCTCACACTTTGTCTAATCTGTTGCTTTCAAGACAGACACAGGGGTGGCGAATCTCCAATAACTAGAAACGGGTTTAAATACCCACGCCTGCTCGGTTACCTCATAAGGTCAGGGTACCGGGGCATTGGCACATGGCTTATGGTCATCAACGTCTTGGAAGTCGTTCAAAATAATGGTTTTAATAGCGGAACCAGTCACATCTGTCTTTGGAAGTTTTCGGTAAAAGTGAAATCGTGCAGTGTACGTCGGAGCCCTTCGTTTCTCAAATATGTTATCCTTGGGCTATTTCGAGAGATAGACGCCTAATTCACATGGAGTCAGCAAATAATGTTTACGAGACAAAAATTCGCCTCTCTTATACGCCCTTTTTGCTCCACAGTTGCCTATTGGTCACACAATGCTAAGAAAAGTGACCTTAACTTACTTTTTCTGAAGTATGTTCTAAATATATCTTAAAACGCATTCTAAAGTTTTTCGGTTGGCTTAGTTTTTTTGTACCTACGATTTAAGTTTTTTTACTGGAAGTCTTATCCTAATTACAGACCACTTTACGCCCATTTTAGGGTTACAGTTAGATGCATGTTGTTTGGGGAGTTTGACCGAAGCAATATGGAAGCTTCGGGCCAGTAAGGGATTTCCCCACGTGAGCTCCTGCCTCATAATCGTTCAAGGAATAATGCGCACATGTGTTGGGGAGGGGGGTGTGGTAAATGCCTCCTGATATATTAGATTACAGGCGGTAAAGAATAAGAAGGAAGCACATCCACACAGTTTACATGGAAGCTTCGGGCCATTCGGAGATTTTTTAACACGGAAGGAGGACAGACGGTCTGTATGACAAGTAGATTTCGGGCATATCACTTCCGAGCTAAATCTAGGCCTCAACGGCGCATTAATTCAGCCATTGCTGCTAGAAATGATAGTGATTTCCAGCATGTCCCCGATAGCGTAATTAATGAATAATTTATACCCATTTGAGTTGGTGCATTCGATCATGCGTAATTTTTGCGCAGACTTTCTAGAATGTTAAAAGTCGGCGGATCCGACCCGTCCAAATGGGCTTATCAAAGTATTCTCCTTTCAATGCGTTTTAGGATCTAAAGGTTAGAGATGAGTCCACAACTTGCTATTTATCACAGGGTTCAGTTTGACTAAGTACATACTGTACTTAATATCGGTTATCATTCGCAAAAGAAAACACTGCTTTCCTCTCTTTCCAAGTTCTTCCTCCTATAATTTAGCTTGACTTTCTAACTTATTTTGTGTTGGGATATATGAAATCCAAATCCAAATACCCTAAAATCAGACCTTCTTTGACGACAGTCATGTTCCCCAGCCATTCGACTCGATACGTGGGACATTTTCATAACCTTCGTCAGCTAGATACTGTCCTTTGCATGCCAGAAATGTGTGCCGAATCTGGTTTCTCAAGAAAACATTGAGCTTGTGTCATTGAAGGAAATAATTTCTTCGAAAATGTAAGCTGCTCTCGGGTTGGGTTTTTAGAGGTCAACTCTGGCCGCGAAAAATAGTAGTGGACTTTCTATCAACGGTAGCATCTTGCTAAACCTTCCCTTTCCAACTTTTCTACTCATTCAAATCGTTTTAGTTTTCCCATCGATCTTTCCAAACATAGGTATTAGCATTGCACATTTGAACCCCCTGCTGTTCTACCAAGTTTTTAGCAATAACGAGAACAACTTTGTTAGATCGAAGGCCTACCGACGCTTTTACTTAAAGTCTATACTTTGAAAAAGAGACCTAGTCATTTAACTAAGCATAACTTAAATGAGGACCGAGAAATTCACTCAAGTGTCCAACGCACGAGGTCGTAGACTGAGTCGGCATCCGATTTGTGCGTTTTTCCTTCGGATTTTTTTTAAAGTGGGGAATCGAGGATCCGGATTGGAAGTTAACACGTCCGTGGGTTAGTCTATGCCATTTACTCTGATGAGTTTGCCTGTTTAACTAGCTCAGTACAACTTACCTGAAATTGCAGTGAGAGCTTTAGTAGTGCAACGGGATGTGTTGTGACTCCGTTCAGGTGCTACGACAGTCCTGACATGTACGACTCTCGTGACTTTGTTTTCTTCTAGATTTCACAACCCTACTGTCTCGCGTGCTCTTCGCAGCCCTAGTGCGGGGCACGTACACATAGTTTACGACCCCTGCGGTAGCCGTTGGACTGATTTTATCAGCGACGGTTATAACTCGCCACCCTTGTGCGCACGGTTACTTTGTGTGGGAGGCTAAAGCACCTCAGCGGTTTCCTCGAGTTGGCGTCCCTTTCCGTCATTATTAGCTTGCTTTAAGCCACGTAAAAGTACTCAAGCAGTCTTTTTCCTTAACAAAACTCTTATTTTTACTGATAAGTTTGTTCCATGTAAAGTCCAAGTCCTGTTGTCCCAAGTAATCCTATAGACAATCACACAGCCCACGCCTTTTTTCTCCTGGCTCCTTTAGTTTGTGGCGACATACACGGCCAGTTCTTCGATCTTATGAAGTTGTTCGAAGTGGGTGGCAACCCTGCTACGACTCGCTATCTCTTCCTTGGGGATTACGTTGATCGGGGGTACTTCAGCATCGAGGTAAGTTGCTCTCCCCCTGAGCTATCCTTCGTTGAATGCATCTAGGTTATTGCGTCAAGTTGGTTTCAAAATCCGCGAACCATTTAGTGGTGTCAACATCCCAGCAGGCAACCGCATTGTGTGGTAATTAGTCGGTCACTTACGACCATCGCGACATAAGTCAGTTGAACCAAAGCACACTGGTCTTTGTTGGAAGTGAAAGTTATTTGGCATGTAGACTGTCGACTGCCTGATGGCGGGATGTTGAGAAGAATATGGATTGGCGACTGTGCTCAGGATGTTGAATTTAACCAGGAAAAGGGAGTTTTTAGTGCCTACAAAAACGCGAATCGAAGTACAGGGATCGAGAAGTACACCGACGTCGTCGTCTCAAATGAGACAGTTGGCGCTCGCTGCGACAACATCGCAAGCATAACCCAGGCCATTCAGGAAAGGCGACTGAGGTGATTCGGGCATGTTCTCCGTCGTCTACCTCGGGAGCTCAGTGTTACCGCCCTCAATCCGGCACCCTTACCCCATTGGAGGCGTCGGAGAGGGGGTCAACTCAAAACCTTGCTCGACACAGTTCTTCAAGACATGAAGGTGGTTCTTGGACCCTCGGTATTCGGTCTCCGTTGGCGAAGAAAATGGGTTGAACTGCCCAGATCTGCTGCTGCGGATCGTCATGCCTGGAGAGGTAAAGTTCGGGATATCATCGAGGCCGGCTATATCAGGCATGACTGCAGCCCTACCAAGTAAATAAGTACTGCGATCGCGAAAGGAAATATTTAGCTGTCGTCCTAGGGGACTTATGGCCAAGAGCTGTGCCGCGAGCCACATACAGTAAGTAGGATATAGAGTGGATGAACAGAGTCAGTCTACAGCCGAACCAAGGGGTTAATATCGCCCGCCTGTTGCTGCCTAAAACACTACCGGGTCTGGTGGTCAGTACTGAGCAAGAACCCCTGTTTATTTTATTCACCATTAGTATTCACTAGGACCGTCCCCATCGACTTTTCTATCGTCTTGGCCATCGGCCTCTGGGTGCTTTTGTTGTCGTGATCAATGACGACCACCGCCATCTCAGGCAGGGCAGTGGCTTTTGCGTGAATTGGGCATACAGCGAAGTAGAGTTGAATAGCATCTACCTCACCATTTCCTCCCACACACCCCTTTCCAGCGGCCATAAAGAGGGAAAACGAATAAGGGTGGGTGTGGGCGATGATGTTGACTGATGTGATGGTGTGACAGATGATGTTGACAATAGAAGCGAAGAGACGAGTCCCAGGAGGTAGTCTTAAAGAAGGAGACACGATCGCCGGGACAATAGCTTTATTAGTTTGACGGTTCGGATTCCTGCTCGAACCCACCATCAGAGACAAAATCAGATAGGGATGGTTCATGCTCAAGGGGCTGCAGTATTTAGAGGATGCAGTCGTCACGCTACCGCATACCTAGGAATATTCACGGCTCCCTCCTTCATCCGGGATCGTACAAAAAGACTCTCTGGAAGTGGTACTTCAACTTGTTCTAGAGAAAAAACGATTTCCCTTGTACGGAAATCTAAAGGCGACGCAAAGATGCACGAACAATCCACAATGGAAGGGCAACGTGACAATAAGTTGAGACCGTGGTTAGAGCACGATCTACTAAAGCACCAGTTCGCAGTACAATCAATTTTCCACGGATTTCAGCCGCCATTGTCAAGGCCTAGATATTTGGGAGACAGTCGAGCCTGAACGGAGAGGGAGGAGCAATTTTTCACTCGTCTTGACTTGGACCTGCACTCATGAAGAGGTGAGAACCTGAAGGCCACCCTGACGTTACTTTCGCCACGCTGTTCTAGCGCCTAGTTTTCTCACGGTGAACAATCCGACGAGTTCTAACCTATGGCAAGACGCTGAACGATATGGCTTGAAAGATGGCTAACTCGGGCCGAGGGTCAGGCAGCAGTGTCCCCGTCTTAGTGCCAAACTCATGACAATTATCACATCTGTGTGATCCGTTCTGTGTGCATTCGGCGCTAGCATGTATGTGGTACACGTGGACGTGGACTCAACATCATCATGAAGGAGGAGACACGATGGCTGGGCCAAGAGCTTTATTAGCCTGATGTTTCGGATTCCTGCTCGAACCCATCATCAGAATCTGCCCTTTTACGTTTTTTCCAAACTGTGAGCATACATGCCTCTGAAATTCATAGAATAGTCGAATATAGTAGCATGCATTTCGCAACATAACCACACCATCTCCGGCTATTTGAGTGCGTGAATATTCATACATTAACATGCATTCTACGCATTCAAAGGCTATGATTCCGAAAAACATCCCTTCGTAAGAAGGGACTTTAAACAATATTGTTCGTTCTGGAAAATTGCCTATTCCCTGTATAAATCGAAAATACCCATTGAGGGTACACGAAATTATTTTATTAGTTCAGAATTTAGGATGTCATAGACAGATGGGATGATATCTAGGGAGAAGTGACAAAGTCAGAGCTTATGCAAGAGTGCGAAGTTAGATGTCACAGAAGTCAGTATGATATCCACTTTTTTCCATTTGAAGCGTACTGCAGATTTTCGATCAGCTTTTTGTGAATTTTTGTGTGGTTACCAGCCCTACGTCCTACACGCACCGCAAGCGTTAACGAATAGAAACTTGCAGTTGGCTTTGATAAGCGTAAACCGATAGGTGAACTTCAAACTTTCTATAGCAGCTGCCCTTCGCTAAAGGCTACCTGAAGCTGGTGGGTAGATATGCTGATATTGTTCTTAGGGTAAGATCGTCCTAGTTAAATGTTAAGGTGCGTGCCTGTCGATTTCGGCGTGCCATGTTAAAACCTACGAGAAAGAAACAGACAACAGTCTGAAACTTAACCACGTTTAAGCCTACATTTCACAGAGTCTTGCTCACATAGAACAATACAAACATTTGAGCGACGCACAAGCCAATGTTTATGTACTTTTAGAACAATCGTTGAGGAGACAACAACGCCCTCTGTAGCCATCATTATCGAATCGATTTATTTCAGATGCAACACGTAAGCAGTATCCTTCAAGTAAGTTGGGCAGTCTTATGTGAATTTGTTGGCGTATGTATAGGTTAAGGCTGGGGAGAACATAAATTTCTAACGTGAAGTGCAGTGGGCAGCCAAATGAAGACATCAACGCATAATCCAAATCACCAAAGTCTCCTACAATTGGATGTCTTGTCAGGTGCACCAGTATCGTCATGCTTAATGTCTCGGCGACTATTCCGTCCCCTTTTCATGGTTCTCTCAACCCCTAGACGGCCATTTAGACACCCAGTGAAGTTAGTCTATGGGAATTCCCGTTTGGCTGTCAACGGTTACCGAAGTTTACGTATCCCGTTGCCCTGTGGTGTGCAAGTTCCAGACCGTGGTTTTGTTCATCTGTTGGCGGTCACTCATAGATGACCCACGGGGTGTGTGGGACGGACCTTCAAATCCAAGGCCCGTTTTTTGTGTTATGCACACACACAGGCAGTTGAACATACTCATTCTTTCACTTCTCATGCCCCCCCATTTTATGTGCCCACGAAATATCGCCCACGTGGAGACGGCGGGGGCTGCTGAGCTGTTTTCAGACACTTACGTTATATAGGGCACGCGATATATCATCCATCGCGTGAACTGGGCACAGAGCATTTAATCTGCTTGGACTTGGACGTCACTTGCGCGTATTAGAGGTAGAACGGCACACTCACATGTGCTTGCATACGTCTACTCCAATCAAGGGGGGGGGGCGGATGACCATGCACCTGTATTGCGAGACCGATATGGACACTGCTTATGCCCCCCCACGTTCCACCCACCTCCCCATTAACTCTCGTTGGGTGCCCATACGGTAGCGGACATCTGCGGAGGTGTTTATTTTACAACGGTAATGGCTTACTCTCTGTTAACGGACGACAGTTCCTCCTTATTGACATGTGCCTTGCCGTTTATCCTTTCTGAACGGACAAGAGACGTGTACGATTTTCACGTTGGGTTGCGCGTCCTTAGAAGAACGCAATACAGACCTCGCTGTCATCGTTATCACTGTTAACGGAGACATCTTGGGAGCTACTGCAACGATCATGTAGCGTCTGCTCGTACCATCATCATCATCATCATCATCATCATCATCATCATCATCATCATCATCATCATCATCATCATCATCATCATCATCATCATCATCATCATCATCATCATCATCATCATCATCATCATCATCATCATCATCATCATCATCATCATCATATCATCATCATCATCATCATCATCATCATCATCATCATCATCATCATCATCATCATCATCATCATCATCATCATCATCATCATCATCATCATCATCATCATCATCATCATCATCATCATCATCATCATCATCATCATCATCATCATCATCATCATCACCCCCTTCTTCCTCCTTCTCCGCCCCTCTTAACCACCGTCCCATGCCTCGGTAACAGAAGGTCTCGCTTGCCGTGTCGTCGCGCTCACCACTTGTGCCCTTCCACACCTCGGCAACGACGAGCCTTGGCTCTTTTGTCTGCTAATGTACCGATTCCCTTCCTGACTGCTGCCGGGCCCGTCCACTTGCTTCTCTCCGCCCCTTCCGCCTTCTGCTCCCGAACAGTGACACGTAGACAAGGCGGTAACGTTAATGTTTGCAGAGTTAGTAAGACAGGAGGCGGAGGGAAGTGGGGGTGAGGGAAGAGGAGAGAATCCGGCTATGACTAAGAGGCAGACAATTGGTGTATCAATTTGGCCAGACACTGCGCTCACTCGTCTGGTGGCAGAAGGCATGACCATCTTCCTTGTGAAGGCGTGAGTAAGTACAAAGCATATAGAAAATTGCCGATCGGAAATCGGAAAAAGTAGGAGGGCATGTATTTGTCGTTAAGTCATTCTGCATCTTGAAGGCTTGAAAAAGCTGTTAGGTCGATCCAATGGAGAGTTGAAACGAGAAGTATTGACTGCAACCGTGTGACTAAATTCTAAACTGTCCTGCGCGACCACGAAAGAATTTTAATGGTGCGTTTGGAAGATGGGTGGGCGAGAGTAAATTGTGCGCAAAGACGGATAAAGCCCAAAGTGGGCTATTGCAGACCATTTGTAATACAGATTGTACAATAGTACCAGGCTAGCCAGTGGATCGAGCGGGCGCCCTGGAGCGGTCTTAGTTACTAGGTTTTCCTTCAGTGCAGAGTCGAGTTCTCCATTGCCCCAGTACCTGCCACCCTCTGACCAACTCGCTCTCTTGCGGCCTGGCTCGGTCAGCGTAAACGATTTTCACTGTGGAAAACGGTCTGCAGGCCTCGTTGATGGAGACCTCGAGGATTGGCTATTCGTCTGTGTACAGAACTGCACAGTACGTGTCGACGAAAGTCCGTCGTATACTAGAAGTCCAGGGTAAAATGACGAGTCCTTACTTCATCCCGTGATCAGGATCGACAAGTAAACATCACTCTGGTTACTTTCATTTTTTTGATTGTAGCTGACAGAACGTGAGCTCATGGCTGAGAACTAGAACGTTTGCTTACTACACAACTAAACCCGGGTTTAAACTGTGGGTTTGTCCATCCTGAGGACGATACACCGGCGACGGCAGACACGTCAGAGGTAAACCCAGAAGCTCCACTGGTATTCAGAGACTGGCACGTATATAGCACATGTAAATGTAGATTCAACATCGCCTGCTACATCAGCAACAGTCGAATTCTCTTATTTTGGCCTTGTCTTGTCCATAGAACAAGGCACGTGCGATGAGATTGTGAGTTAGATGCTGCAAAAGTCTGCCCCAATGTACACCCAGTTCACGTAAAAGTGGCCATCTTCTCCGAACTAGCAGTATTTTTCGTCACTTGGGGTGAAAGAGAACTATCGTTCTTTGAAGTCAGCCGAGTAAACTGAAGCCTATATTTTGCTCAGACATTTGCCTATCTCGATGTATCTTCTGCGTTCTTTGGATGTTTACACGTAAAAAAGTTCAAAAATACTCAAATGTGATTCTGATTTTAGCCAAACAAAATAACCCCAGTTTTTCGTGAAAATTCGGAGCTCATTTAGGCTGATGCCAATTCTACTGCATTCTCACATAAACAGTAACCAGCCCTGTCTCCTGGTCAAATGTTATTCCTAGCAGTCTCGCCCTCCTCACAAGCGTTCGTTTGTGGGGCGTAGTCAAGTCTTCCCAAGGTTGCGACATTATTACTGCACCGGGCTCTAAATTGAAACTCCAAATCCAAGCGAAATGTGTCTACTCCGTTCCGCGAACCAGGCAGGTCGGCCGACGTGACCCTAATGTTTCTCTGGCCGACTAACCTGCTTGATTGACGAATAACCCGGCTCTAGTAGCTACCGGGCAATAAATTAAATCTAAACAGACCATTTTAATGTGTCTTCGCGCACGCCTTCCCCCACCCCAGGGGTGTAAATGCACTTTCGTTTTTTCCCTCTATTGCAGTGTGTGCTGTATCTGTGGAGCCTGAAAATCCTGCATCCAAATAACTTTTTCCTCCTCCGCGGCAACCACGAGTGTCGTCACTTAACCGAGTACTTCACTTTCAAGCAAGAATGTGAGTACCTACTTATGGTTTTTCCCAGCCTCCGGCGCAGGTTCATCATTCTTTTCTTTACGTTTACCTCTGTTCTGTCTGTTGCTGTCGCCAGTTAAACAAACATTTTTGGATGAACCCCCTTCACATTGCTTTTGGTTGGAGGAAGTTCTCCGTCCAGTTTTTACATTTTTTAAAAGCTGGTATCAACAATGGTGGCGAGTTAGGGTTTTGTCGCTATCGTTACTTAGTTGACGAATAATCAATGCGAACGACCCTATGACACTGGCTTTTGGGTGATCCGAACTCCCTTAGAGCCTGCAAAGGGCCAGGTCGTATCTGGCATGCGTAGACAGACTGTTTAGCTTTGTCAGCCATTGCAACCACGCCCATCTTCTCTCGTCTCGACTTTGTTTTGCCATTAGAAAATGCATGACTAGGGGGACTAGGCTGCCTGTTTCGCGTGGTCAAGTCTGTCCCGGATACTGGTCAAACCATTGCCTAGGACAAAACCTGTATAGTTGGCGTCTGAAAATCCAAGATTGGCTGAGTTTTTCTCGAAGGAATGTGCTAGTCGGTTGTTATATCGATTTGAATGTCATTTGGAAAAACTCATAGGAGAACTGGAGGAGGAGGAGTCGACACTCGACCCAAACGGGACGATGCCAAACAGTGAACGCTATTTAACTCAAATGCCGGATGATCGTTGATTGTTGAGGCGTTTTTGAGAGACTGTCCTGCACATTCGCTGCACATTTAATAACAATTAGGGGAACCGGTGTCTAAACTTTGTGCATTGGGAACCTGTTTTCAAAAGGAGTTTCCTGTTTATTCCCACCTTTCAGCGATATATGTATTATATGCATATGGACATATATATTATATACATGCATATATATGAAAAAGGGAGGGGTCAGATGTGGTTATGCAGCCGCACCTGAGGTAAACAAACCCCAACCACCTGTAATACGGAACCGGTGATAATAGGGGGTTTTTACAGGTGGAGCCGGGGAACTCACAGGCTACGAGCTCAAGTAATTGTATGCAAAAGAAAAGCTATTGGGAATGTGCGGTTGTACTTTGAGTGGTTAAGAAATAATTGTTCTAGTCCCTAACCCCTAACAGTATTGTGTCCATCAGGTGCGGATGCGTAACCACATCTTACCAAAAGGGGAGACCCTCTAAAAGGGTGCCAGTTGTGCTTGATACTGCATTTCTTAGACTGCCAGGCCTCTTACACTTGTTTTGCGTAGACTACGGCGATCACATCGGTATCTTCCCAATTGAAGCGGTTGTCATATTCAGGGGCATGCGCAAGGGACCGTGCTGGCGGACAGCCAGCTTGTGTTCGTTAGTGCGGATACTAGGTTGTCGACCTCTTTGGCGGGATATGATAATCGACTCTCGCTTGTTACCCTTTAGGCCTGGGATAATTCACCGGAAATAGTGCCGCACGTTATCAGCATAGTTTATGCCAGGACTGACTGAACAACAGTAGAACCAGGCCGAAGGTATGTTGTCGCAAACTCAATGTGTCTGTCAAAACTATCCTGAATCTTAGATCATTTAGGACCTGAGGTTGGGTATAACCGGTTGACAGCGGCTAATAAACCGTAAAAGACCATCGCCGTCCGCATTGTCTTTGTCGGTTCTCCTTTGAACATATATTCATGGTGTCTGTGCGGCTGCCTTCACTGGTTTTAGATTGAGGCTCAAGGCACAACAGGACGAGCAGGTTTCGTAACCCGACCGATGAAGGCAATCCCAACCTACATATATATATATATGTATATTTATGGCAAACTTTTTATACCGTACTCCCAACATAGGTACCAACTTATAGCCCAGACACGTGTTCCGCCGACATTTTGCCGCTGCGGGACACAGCTGCGAGGGGTTCGGCTCCCCGGTGGCTCCCCCAGCATTCCCTATGCGGTTTCTGATATATTAACTCAAGAGGAGAGTCAGGCTAATAATGCCAAAAATAATCCAGTGTAGGAAACGGAGTCAAGTCTCCGGGACATGACTTTTTTAACGTCAGATCCGAAATTCCAGGGAACATTCGAGTCGACGACAATAAACTACGGTGAATAACCACGCAATGCCCATTCTAGAAACAGCTGTGTTACACAGCGGAAAAATACCGGTGAAACATGTGTCCGGGCTTTTAGCTAGTGCCTATGTCGGGAGTACGGTGGAATACCTTTGTCATATGTACATATATGTATATGTTTCGAAAAAATGCGTCCTTTCCTATGCACGCTTGTAGCGAGGCTACCATCGCTCAGCTTTTGTGTGCTCACGTCCAGAAACGGCCGGCTGTCTTTTATCGCCTTTTTACGGGTAAATTGTATGGCTGGGAAGACATCATTCAGTGTCCGATGCAGGCATCCCAAGAAATATAATTTGAAGGCAAACACGCCCTTTGAAAGAAATAGAGAACTTTCTTAGGTAAATTTTCGACGCTGGTTCCCCAGGTCGTTGTCGGACTTGAGCAAATGTGCAAAAACATGATTAATATTTCAAACGTGCTGAAAGACCAATATTTATTTGATGTTTGCGCCAGTAAGTGGCCGTCGCATGCATAATTCTGTGTTGATTGGCTCTCGCCTCTTCCACTTTTCCATGAGATTTCTGTACATGGAATTTAACTCAATGTGCCGATTGTTCCACGACTCATCTGAATGCATGTCTTCAGGAGACTCGGCTTTTTTAGAGGGGCGAACTCCGACGATGCGAGTTTTGCCCCATGCGAAGGTATGGCCAGTATCAAGGGCGTGCATATCCATTTGAGGCAGGTGGTCTCGCCTCTTAACTGTCACTTTTAATGTTCATGAATGCGTGGAGAGGCAGACTTTCCCGTTTGGCCACAATACACAGCATCACAGGCGAAATAGCCAGCCTCAGGGTGTACCAGCTGAGTGCGGAAAGTAGTCGTCGGCATGTGCGCCAGTTGTATTTGACGTTTCCTTAAATACTAATTGTTTTTTTGCTCATTTACTTAAGTCTGACGACGATCTGGAGAACCAGCGTCAGAAATTTACCCAATAAAGTCCTCCATTTTCCCCAACGAATGTGTTGGCCTTCACACGCACATATATATCCTGTTCATCATCCCAAAAGAAGACGAAGAAGAAAAAGAGGCGATGCCATGGACCACACTGTATTTGTGCTGACGTTTCGGAAACTTCCTCGCTTCCATCATCGACGACAGAGTCTGGGGGGAGTCTGGGAGTCGTCTCCCATCTGCTGTCATGGCTTGGCCGACTTCGGCCTGGTAGGTGGTTGCCTGTAGGCAGCTCACTAGGAGGGCAACAAGGCAGACGCAGACAGCAGACGGGTGACATTAACTCGTCGCCAGATGAAATTAAAACGAGAAAGTTAGTTTGTTCTACTAGAGCACTCGTGGCGACAGGATAGACAGACCACTGGAGTGTGAGGAGGGTGATCACGGAGTTATGGTACGTTTCTGAGCGAGTGGGGGGGAGGGGCGAAACAGTTACGACTCCCTGTACTGGAGGGGAAGGGCGGATGAGGACAGTTGGGTTCCGAGCTGCCGCATTCGTGGTCGTAAATGTGGGATTAGGGCAGGGGTCAGTAATTCGTGAACGTAGGCACTCGTAATGGACGTACAGGTTAACATGGCGGTTGATAATACCCACATTGGACTACCAAGCCTTGAAAAATTCTCCGGCTCGTTTTGTGTTGACCATGGCGACGACCTCATTGCCATCCCAATTGAATCGAGGGGACAAGAGATCTCGCCGACAGACAGCTGCTTTGTCTTTATTAATATCGGTGCCCAGGCGTCGACCCGTATGACCAACATTCACGCAGGATGCGATAAATTACGTTTGTTGCTCTGTTGGAATGGGATCCTTGATTCGTGACAGTGCTGTGCGTAGTGAGGATGCTGGTTTGTGTACAACGTGAATACCAAAGCCATTTAACTGCTGGGTGATTATTTCAGAGGTTCCCCGCATTTCCCCGAATTTCCGTGCCCCAATTCCTTCGTTGCGGGTGGGGCCTTGCGACTGTGCCCGGAGTCTGAGCCAGTCATACCCAACCCCAAGTGTGGATCACTTGAGATTCGAACCCGGGATCTTTGGTCATGGAGTTTGACACTGTACACAAACCAGCATCCTCACTACGCACAGCACTGTCGCGAATCAAGGATCCCATTCGAAAAGAGCAACCAACGTGATTTATCGCATCCTGCGTGAATGTTGAGTTTGAGCAGTTCTATAACCTGCTGTGTAGGAATCTCAACAGGATCGTCCTGTAAGCATTGGGCCACGCATTCAACCGCCAAATCGTGCGGTATGGAAGAAAACAAGACAACAATGTCGAAAGACAGGAGGCACACACCCATGTGATGCTGTGTGTCGTATCACCTGCCCTGTGGCCGCGCGACTTCGTAGTTCTTTATTACGGCAGAGGTGACATCTACATAGCGAAGCCACACTTTGGGCTTGAGGGTTTAAACAACCTCTTCTAGTCGTTGCAATACTAGTTCGGCGGTCAGTTCTGATATTGGCGAGCCCATTGGGGTTCCATTTACCGGTTGGTAGTACTTATTGTCGAATTGGCAGTAGTTCCTAAGGCGGAGTTGAGCAGTTCTATAGCATGCTATGTAGGAATCTCAGCAGGATCGTCCTGTAAGCATTGGGCCACGCATTCAATCGCCAAATCGTGTGGTATGGAAGAAAACAAGGCAACGATGTCGATAGACAGGAGGCATTCATCAGTACATACTTTTAGATCTTGGATCCTGTGGAGGAATGCGGGAGAGTTGTTAATGCTGTAGTCAGACCCACGAGTTAGCTGCTTCAGATGGGCTCTGGTGGGGTTTCGTGCATCATGTGACTATAAGGTGGCCTCGGAGGTCGTCTTCCCGTCATTTTCTTTAATTCAGCTGTTTGGACCGCATGTTCTCCTTAACCCTGAATATATATTATAAGGTGTTTTTGGCAGATTTGAATAATTCTTCTGACTCATTTGTGAAAAACTCGTCGGCCTCGATGGGATTTGAAATCACGACACTGAGTACAGCCGACGCTCTAACCACCTGAGCCACGAGGCCCCACTGGGAGCCGACAGTTTAATCACAGTTGGGTCAAGTTACCCGCCCAGATTACTGCAACGTATGGAATCCATTAAATCTGATGTAGTAAGCTGACTGCCCAAGCGGGAATTCGCAAGCGGTCACTATCTAATCCACCAGATGACTTACAGGCTCTTCTAATTAATAGGTGTTTTTGGCAGATTTGAATAATTTATTTGATTTAGTTGTGAAAAACTCGTTGTGGGTTCGAATCCCATCGAGGCCGCCATCCGGATTTCCGTCTCTTCTGTTTAGTCCTACCAAAATGTATTAGCTTTATTTCTTCCTTTGAATGCTGTCAACCCCCGTGTACTGCTCGCCGTGACGCATGGAGGCCTATCGCCAGCACCAGCTAACAGGTTGGCTGGCAGCAACAGGAGCTGCAACTTTGTGCGTTGTTTTCTTATTGTAGGGCGTCATTTCTCGCGAATTCGACCACGCGGGTGAATTGGGTAGGCGCGATTGCCTCCTCTATCGTCTTCCGTCTACGTACTCCGATCCCCCAGAGAAATTCGCTAATGCCCTTTATACCTGTGTGTTTGTTCCTGTGCCCCCTTCCCCCGCATAAGATTAGGCGCAGCTGAAAGCTCGCTAGCAATCGCCACCACGTTTTGTCACGAGGCTGATTTAGCCCGCCCCGCCTCCCCCTCCCCCCCGCTGACTAACTGCAAGTACGAACGTGCACTTTTTGTTTCTGCACTGGGCTGGAATACGAGGTCCAACCTCTTCCCCGTCACGCGACCCTTTGTCCTTCATATTTCTTTCAGGCAAGATTAAGTACAATGAAGATGTGTACAATGCCTGCATGGACGCATTTGACTGCTTGCCGCTGGCGGCCCTCATGAACCAACAGTTCCTCTGTGTCCACGGTGGGCTTTCTCCTGAAATTCATTCCCTGGATGACATCAGAAGGGTACGATGACTGTTTGTTCGTGTACTTTACTACCTTTACTGTTCTGCGCGGTAAAGTGCACTTCTTTTACGTGATATAAGCTAGCTAGCATCTCCTTATGATTGTTGTGTTTATTTTGTTATCAACTTCAATGCAGGTTTTTTTCGTCCCACCTCATCGGCTGCGAGCCGACTTTGTTCAAGTAAATGCACACCCATGTGATGCTGTGTGTTGTATCACCTGCCCTGTGGCGAAGTCTCACTCCAAAACCTGACCATACGCTCCGGATGCGCGTTAGGGGTCATCGTATTATCTAAGCCGTACTTTCAGACTACTGTTTCGACCTAAACGCGGAAGGATGTACTCGAGGAGGTTCAATCATCCGTAAACCATCCTCTCTTTAAGACGTTTCTCTCTCTCCAAGATGTGTGCTCAGTTGTAAATATCTCCTGAGATTCATGGCCGTTGCGACCTTGTGATGGTCCATTAGGGCTTGGAGGCGGGTTCTCACATTCTGGACTGTTCCCTCTGCGCACAGCCACCCGCATCCTCTCCCGCCTCCGGTCTTCTTGACTCTGTCTCGGCACCGGCCTCAAGCGGGTGATGGATGAGAGGGTGTGATAGGCGCAGCAAGTCACCGTCCCTGCGGCAGACGGTGGACATTGTCGGAAACGACGATCAAACTTTTCATGTTCATATTCCATTTGAATGCTGTTCACTTCGGCGGCTCAAAAACGTTGTGTCAACACTTGCAATTTCAGCACTGGTATATAGTCTACTCAGATAATTATTTTACTTTACTGTCATTACAGATACTGATTGAAAGCCTGACTACTCGTTTTGCTGAATCTGTGTCGTTACTTGATGTAACTGCGCCCGGGTTTCGCCCTTGAGTGGATCTCCGGCGTTTCACATGCATTCATTGTTATATAAGCAGCCTAAACACAAATCCGAATAAAAATATTAGGTGACCAAGACTATAGCCAAGTTTCTGAGTTCCCCTTTTCTCTCTTATCCTCCCTGCTGATTTGTAAACAACATTTGTGTGGTTTACTTTGCCTTTTCGACAGCGTTCCTGGCACAACATGATGGTGGTTAGGTACCTGAAGTGGATAACCGGCTTGAAAGAGGTGTCCGGGTAAGGGCTGGTTAGACGGTCTTCCTAATCGGACCGCGCCTCGCGCCAACCTCTAATCTCTGTGTATACATGGGACTGTGCAAAGCGCGGAGGCCATACCCCAACAACCGTATCTGCCGGTGGACGCGGATTAGTCAGAGTGTCCTTTCAACGCCCGGTGAATTTACGTGAATCCTGGTTCGGTCATGGGAGCGGGGCCAGCTGTGTTGTGTCACAGCCGGACGAGTGCTGCCCATCTCCGGTCATCTTGACCTAAGTGGCCCAGCCGTCGGGAGAACACGGTGGGTGTGTGGGAGAAGAGGACAGGAATAGCGTCGATCTAGTTGGAGGGACGAACTACCAAATAGGGGGGATAGTGAAGCCGAAGAGGCTACGCGCCTACCGTCCGCGCTCTCCGCAGCCGTTTTACACTTTTGCACACTGCCATCGCCTGTCCTACACACAGGCGCTGGCATGAGACATTGATGAAAATGCTTAAAGGCACTTTCACGCAGAAAGACCGGTTAAGTGAGGCTGTAGTTCTAGGGTTATAATGGAGCACAGTCCCATTTGGCTTCATACAGGAGAGAATCACAGTGTCTAGTGTGCGCATTTCTTCAATTTTGGATGTTGCATAAATCCTAGTCCGTGCCCCAAAACCCCTTCCTCATGTCCATTGTGTGCAACTTCAAGCTTTTAGACTTCCACATTTTCATTGGAGAAACAAAGTACTACGTGCAGGTTTTGTAACGAAACCGGAGTTCTCACCTGTTATGTTCTGCGGAAACAAATTGCTGTTGCTCTTGTAATTAAGAATTTCCTATACTGCTTGCTGATATGTTCGCCTGCCAAGTACCAAGTTCCGAGAAGACCCAGCTTCCAAAAAATGCCATAAGAAATTTTTAAGTGCATCTTGTTCAGACGCCTTACATAAAGGGCTATTAGCATAGGAATGCCCCAGAAACTGCGCGCACTGCATAGGTAGGTTTTTTTCGAGTTGGGTTGTCGTACTCGACTCGGAAGCCAGCCCCTGCAAACTAACTTTCAAGTTGCGAAAATTTCCATTGAGCAATTTAGAAGAGCCTTTGGCAGGCATACGCGTGCTTTCGATAAATTCTCATCGGGCCTTTACGGGGTACAACCGTGCGAGCGATAAGAGTAATCGACTAAGGTTCGTCTTTTCATACAAACGGGGTATGTGGATAGAGGGGGAGGGGGGGAGGAGAGGAGGCAGTAGGTGACAGTGAGGGTTAGGTAGAACCTGTCACGAGGGGGAGGAGGGGTGGGGGGACGGGGACGCGGAGACATGCATGCTGTTAATCGATCTATGGCCACGGTAGACGCGGGGCGTGCGAGAGGTTCTTCTGCGCGCACAGGACCGACCTCTGTAACCTGATGGCAGTTTCTTCTGTCCCTACTGGTAGGCGCCGACCTGGTCACTTAGGGTAGTTGGGTGGGGCCTGGTAAATCACACGGAAGACTTTTTTGGGATCCACACGATGCCCATAACCAACCATGTGTGCGAGGATGGAGCTGTGTATGCTCTCAACTTCACCCTTCCTCATTACTTTCTCAGGTTATTAATATAATTTTTGAAGTTAAAAACCCATTTCAAGATAACGGTGAATGATTCATGAACTTCGCCGTCTTTAGTAGCATAAAATTACGTAGCGGTGCGCTAGTGCTCCGAATGCATTCATTTTTCGTGTTTTTGTCCCCTATCTGTTTTCATTTGGGACCAACTTTCCTTGTTTATGCGATGAGGCGTCAACACACCTGTATTGCTCTTGCACGTTGGAAGCCTTGACTAAGTCGCCTTATGGGAAATGTTTGGGTGGGTGACTGTTGGTCCTCGGTTGTTGTTCATTAGGTATCGATCTGAAAGCTTGCAAATTTCTTCCACAGATCGATCGTTTCAAGGAGCCACCCGCCTTTGGGGCAATGTGCGATCTTCTCTGGTCAGACCCACTGGAAGATTTCGGAAATGAGCAAAATACCGACAACTTTTCACATAACAGTGTCCGTGGATGCTCCTACTTTTTTAGGTGAGTTCCTTTTTAACACGATTTATTTTGCTTAAGGAACTCCCTAAAGTGAGGAGAGGGACTGTTGAGTTTTTTAATCCTTCTGGCTTCAAGGCGGTGTTAGGAACCATCGTACTGTCCTGACGTTTCAAATACAAGCAAGCTTTCATTGTCAGAGATGCATCTTGTAACGCTCCTCGTGGTATTAATAGGCGTAACGGTCACACCAACGTGGCGTTAGTAATAGGAATTTCTCTGCAGTCGACACAGCGGGGTGGGTGGACATAGTCAATCGTCAGCTGCGGGGGGGGGGGAGGAGGAGGAGGTGGTCACCGTCCACATCCGCACTGCCCTTAGTTGCCGTCTTGGTCGCCAGTCTTGGTTGCGTCCCCTGGCTACCCTTGTCCTCGTTTGATTGTCCTCGTGTGGCAGCTGTGCCGTCGTTAGATCTGAGATATGGTGCTGCAGCGTGCCTGTCTGGTTTTGGCCCAGGCTCATGCTTTCTCTTCCGTTCATCAAGCTGAGTCTAAAGGCCTTTGAAAGCGAGCTGCAGCAAGGATCAGGTCTCAATAGTTTCGCTTGCTATGAAATCACGCCCTCGACTCGAGATTGCTGCATTCTGAAGGGTAGTCAAGTTATGTATAGGCACGAAGATTCGAGGCATGAATTTATATTCATCTTCGCCGTCCCCTTGAGAAGACGAGGAGGAGTCAAATTCATGGGCTGAACTGTGCTTATATTGACTTTTCGGAAACCTCATTTCTGTCATCAGATTGGCGCGGTGGCTATTCCTGCTGACCTTGATTTATTCAGCCTCCTCACCTGCCTCGTATTATAACCATGCCCGACCGCTGACGGACACGCCTGACCTTTGTCCCCCGCGAGACCGTCGTAGTTGCAGCAAAGTCTGCGTACCGGCTAGCCTCTTCTCTGCCATCCGGCGGACTGATGAGTTGTCGTTGCCCACGTGAATTGTCTTCGGCCTAAAGGGGATGTCGGTGAGACAGCTTTCTGTGCTGGTCACGCGACCAACTGGCTACCACGCCCTTCTCCACGGACGTCAGCTGTTCTCTCCGTGTGACTTTTCTCGCTTGTTCTACTGGCCTGGTCCACATTTTATCACCCAAAGAGCGGACGCCGGGGCAGATTCTGGTACAGAAACATGCAGCATTCATCAACATGGCGTACACCGATCTGGTTAACTTTGTGGCCACAACTAAGTTGGTTCTCAAACACTCCCAGGCGTCTGTTGGGACAAGGCACCTCATTCGTCAAGAAGCTACCGCCTTGGCGATTGCGCATAAACCACGTATAGTCGTTCTGGTAGCTACACCGGATGCTCTCGGTAAACTGACGGCTGACAGAAGACGCCTAACAGTTGTGCTTGGATGTTTCTGGAAGGCCAACATCCTACATGGAACTTTGCCTTGGACAATTAATTCTGCTTGCAAACAAGAGGTGTTCCTATAGATCGCCAATATCTAGCCTTCTAGCGGCTGCTGTAATGCAGAAATGTGAAATTACAGCTCTCCCCAAAGTTTGCGCAATGATAAATTTGTTGTCGTCGGAAAGGATCAAGTAGGAATACTCCACAACAGGGAATTGAATTTATTTTCCAAAAGAAGGTTGATGGGCAGCTCCATTCATACATGTCCCCGTATATCCAAAGACTGATGGGTGACCACAAACTTCGGTTTATCGCAAAGACATACTTCGCGGTCGTCCTACATTGTGAGAGCAAGCATCCTAGTTCTCACAAACATAGCTCTGTTAATAGCTCTCTAAGTCGAGTTGAAATCCATTGCCCTCACGAAGAAAGCTGTCGAGAATGAATATCATGCCTTTTTAAACTGTTCTTCCAAAATGAAAAATTTCTGGTTTTGTGCATCGATCGATGAAGCCACAAGAATGTAAAGAAAAAATATATTTCCAACGGTACAACGCCAAAACCAAATGCCGGACGGACTCACCCTTATGCGAAGAATATACCCGAGCTCGTCGAAAGACGGCTGAAAAAACACCAGATACAGGTGGTACGCAAACTGACAGCTGCTTTGCGCACCCTGAGGGCAGGACTGATGATTTCAATGGAAAATAATCGTAAAGAGAGTCACGTGTGCCACTTGTGATGCATTTCATCATGACCAAGCCGGTGCATCTCCCTCTATATTTGAACTTCAGCTGTCACAGGTAGTCATGCACACACTGAGAACAGAGCACACATTTGCGTGTGAGGAAGCTTATCGTTTGCGCCTGCCCGACAACCAAGGGCCGCGACTTCCTGGAATCAACAGGCCCAAACGAGACACGCATACGGTATACTTGGAACACACACATATATATATATATATATGACCCGGTAAGCGCTAATCTACCATAGTTAATATTCGCGGTTACTACGGACAGGACAGCGGGTCCGTGGCTCAATGACATAGTTTCACACTTGATGACCAAAGATTATCGGTCCGAATCCCGGTTGATCCACGCTTGGAATTGGATATGACCGGTCGATGACGGCCACTAAGCCAGAAATGACCATTCCGACCTTCCTTGTCTTTGTAGGTGCCACCCTATATATGTGTGTGTACAGAGCGGGGCCACCGACACAGATAAAAGGGACTGGAATGGCCATTTCTGGCTTATTAGCCGTCATCAATCACTCGTGCCCAACCCAGAGTTTGCGAACCCACGTTCTGATGACTAAAACTTCAACGCCGTAATCACTGAGCCACGAGCTCGTCCTCTCGGTTGAGCCTACGCATCGACTGTTGAATTGTGACGCGTTCCGCGGCATTCACCGGCGGACTTACCAGACGCTTTTTCACTTATTTGTCGAGCATACTGTCAGAACGTTTATTGTCAGCATCTGAACTAAAACGATGACAACATTGGTCGGAGAGAGGTGGAACTGATTTGTTCCCAATGAGTACTTGGTAAGGGAGGGGGAGAGTGCACACATAATCAAAGCTCCTCGTCCTTGGCCAGAAGGTTTGTGCCAAACCCTACGGAGTATTGAAGAACAGTATTGCTACCGCTCGGGTCCATGCCACTGTGTCGTCTCCTCGAGCATCTAATGCTAAAATAAGCTGATTCCCCTTACAGACTGTGTAGTTAGTCAGAGTTCGATTTCTGCGCCCGCTGACCCCTGCTTGATGTTCACCTCGAGTTCAAACCTTCACGGACATATTTTTCTGTCTCAAGCAAACACTTTCAACCGCAGTTAGCATGCGCACGCTTTTTTGGCCATTAATCCAACTCAGCACATCTAGGATGTCCGTCACTGTTGGTAATTCTTTCTCTGGGCTACAGTGGCTGCTAACGGGTCCAACCAGAGTGCTTAAATTGCAGCCCATTCGTCATCCGGAACCCAGAAAAATGCATGCTACTTAAGTAGTCATTTTTTACTGAGTGTGGCTTCTGCAGGAGGTCAAAAGGAAGTGCATTCAAAAGCTGAGATCCTAATGAGCCCGCAATGTTATAGGGTTATGCTGGATGATAATCAGTATAACAACTCCACTTAAGTAATCCTTCCTAATCGGAAACGCATTCCAGAATTTTGGCGAACATTTCATGAGATCGGTCACGCACTGTAGAATGGCCATTCCTGGCTTACTAACCGTCGTCAGCCAGCAATACCAAACCCGAAGTGTAGAACGCTTGGGGTTCGATCCCGCGACCTGTTGGTTAGAATTCCAGCGCCTCCAATCACGGAGTTACGAGCTCGTTTCCTGCCGGTTGCGATCGGATATGGCTGGCGGACAACGGCCAATAGGCCGGAAATGTCCATTGCAGTCTCGCTTGTCTTTGTCGGTACTGCTATTATGCCTATATCATGCGACGCTGTGCGGCTGCTGGTTGGGCTCGAGTGAGTTCCGCAAGAACGATCGGTGAGCGTCCATCTACCATTATGTATATTTGTCAAGTAAGCGTGTGACCTTCGCTGTTGAGGTTAGGATCTCACTCGATCCCATTCTGTCCGCTCGCCAGCTTGCTACTGGCGACGTACTGATGATCGGCAAAGACCTTGGAGCAGCTGTCTGCGTCTGGTGTGTTGCATCGTTGGTGAGCTGCTTACGTGTTATATGTGGTGTGTGTCCCATGACAAAATGTTCGTTGTCGTCAGTAGCAAGCTGACTGGCGGGTGGACAGAATGGGATCGAGTGAAATCCTAGCCACAATTGTGAGGGTCATACGTCTACTTGACATGTTTATATACCTCGCTTCATAAGAACGATGACGTACTGATGACTGGTAACGATCGTGAACCAGCTGTCTGCGTTTGATCTGTTGCACTCTTAGTGAGCAGCAAACATATTATGTATATAATCCAGTTCAGCTGTTAAGATTTTTTTTATCTATTCAGTCGATTCTTCTGGTTTGCGAATTCATCCAAGTCCGTGCAGGACCTTGAACGAAAAGTAAAATGGCTGACTGGTGTTTGAGAAGTGACTGATACCGCACCCGGTCAAGATCCTCTCCGGTTCTAGTGTGCCAATTACCTGAACTTTAGCAGAGGTCATACCTCCGTCTTGCATCGCCTCTTTTCGGCACCTTTGGCTGTAACTCTAGGCTTAAGGTAACCAGTAAGTGGGGGTCATCGTCGATCAAGCCCAAGCACTTAGGTCGGAAGATTGGCTTGTTAAAATGACATGGATTATGGGCGGCCGTGTAAACTTGTGTCCACGCTCCTCATAGCTTGCGAGCAGCAAGGCGCATTTGATATACCTCTGCTCAGTCCGTGCACCCCAATTTCTTGACTTTTAGTTTGTGACACAGCTTCCCTCTCTGCCTTAAACAACGAGCGCCCACGCGTTAAAGGATATATATATATATTAGGTAGCATTTGGCGAAACAGGAGGTCGACTGTATCGCGCATTAATGGGCCATCTGTTGTCCTATTTGGAGCTCATCACAGAAGGAAAGGGGAGGGTAACACAAACTATGGACTGAGCGGATGAGACTCTTGAGAGAGAGAGAGAGAGAGAGAGGGAGACCGCGTTGTTAAACTGCCGGATACAAGGCGCAGCCGCCCCAGGTTCGGTGCCTGCACTGTTTTGGTGCCGTTACGACTGCTTTTGATGCGCTAGCCTGCTATTCGGTCGCCAGGCGGTGCCTCCCTTTATAGAAATCTAGAAGGAAGTCCAAGGATATGCCGACCGCGGCGAAATGAGTTTCTTGGCGGTCATCAAAACGGATTACGACCCCCAAACCACGCAACTGTCCTACCCTGCAGATCGAACTGAATCAGTCTACTCGCGGAGAAATCGCGGTTACCGGAACGTTAAGCTGAGCACTAGGGGTGTCCTCAACTGCCCATCTGTAAACTGTAAGACAGACAGTGACTGATTTTCTCAGGTTGACCTTAATCGCCCTCTCTTTCTGTAGGAGACAATCAGGGCAGTTCAGCTGATATTCAGTAAAAAGTTCAAGCGCGGATTAGAATCCGGCTGGTCTGCAAATTTTTGACCGACAGCCTCTGGTGGCCAACCTTGCTGTTCCGGTAGATGTATGGATGAGGACAAATCTAGCTAATCTTCAAGTACTCCACCGTCTTCCACCCATACAAATGCAAAAGCAAGCAGCAATTAGATGATAATCACCATGCCACCTCTCTGTCGTAAGTATTGCTGGCAAAATCTTTCCCTAAATCTTTAGCCATCGCCTGACCTAACACCTAGCGCAAAAACTTCTTCCAGAGACACAGTGTAGAATCCGGAAGTATATTGATCAGGCGAAATGAACTTTGCAACACGGAAATTTCAGAAAGAATGTTAGGAAATCACAACCGGCCTTTGCACTCCTTTTGTCAATCTCACAAAAAATCTTCAACACCTAGAACTATGAATAAGTGGGGAAACCTCGTGGAGAAATTTACATATCCTGAGAGGTTCGTGTTGATGTCCGGACGATTCTACGAGGTCATGATGGCGCGCCCGTCGTGGACCGCGGACGAACTTCAGAGGTCTTTGGGTTGAAGATGGGTTGGGTATCTTTCCCTGTCCTCTCCAAACCCGTCTTCTCTGCAGTACCAATGGACGCCAACAGTGGAGAATGATAAGGAATATGCATAGGTCACAGAACTTATGCGAGGCGTTTCAGCATCTACCGTATGCACGTTGTAAGACCAAAACCAACAACGTTTTTGTCTACGGTTAACATTGGACACCATTGCTAAGGCCAAGACCAGTTTTGGATTAACCTTAAGCATTATAAAAATGGCTGCCGTGTATCAGCCGGTTGCGACTCCTAAGTACTCTGTGCGCTCAATCACTGTCAACTCTCTTATCTGGAAACCGCTATCTGAACTATCACCAAAACCGACGGAGAGACTGGAGCCTGGAACTCAATTGCCCCCCAAACCTTCGACAGGCTTCGATTTTCCGTGCGGAATCGTCGAGTCGTCTCGCTCACCGCGAGACAAGATAATCCAGACTGCCGTCCAGACAATGCTCCTCAGCGGCGCAGAGGATTGGATAAGTCACCGGAAGCATGCGACAAAGTTGAATAATCTCCACCGCATTTGTCTCCAGAGGATGTTAAGGACGCAGTTTCAAGAAAGGATTCCTGACATTGAAGTCCAGGAAGCGACTGACATCCTCAGCATCTTTGCACTTCTGAAGGAGAACCAATTTCGATGAGACGGCCGCTTCGTAGGGACGTCTGATGGGTGTCCGTCAAAGCGACCTTTTTTAGGTTACGTCGCTGCAGGCACTCAATGTCAAAGACGCCAAAAACAATATAGAAGGCGGCTGTCAGGAGACGGAACAGCTGGTGGCCCCGACCAAGTGTCGACCTATCGCTACAGTAACTGGGCATTTCGTCAGCACGCGCCTGGGGGGACATCTGGACATACAACTCGTATCGGCTGAACTGTCAATTCACTTAACTTAGATAGTTATAATAGACTGACACATTTTTTGAGTTTGAAAACTTGTAATTGTAGTAGGAATTTAAAAGCTCGTCTTCCCATTTACCAGAGGGTCTCACCATCCACTAGATAACCGCCGCACGCATCAAAGCGCACAGCTGAGGGATAGAACTTGTCTTTGTCTGGACGGGGGGAGGCCTCGTATAATTATAACTTGGTCTTTGGACCACTCTGACGTCGATCCCGGCGTTTTCGAGAGACCGGACGCGCTCCTGATCGATCTGATTACCAGGTTCATCTTTGCCTTGCCTATGATTGAAGGTTCGACCCATAGTAATAGGATCTGTCCATTAACTTAGGTGTTTCACCATCCAGGTAAGTATTTCCGACCGCGAAAGCAGAAGCGGTCATCTTTATTTGGGAAGTCTTTTCTAACCTCCCTTGCGTTCGCACTTGTCTGGGACACCGCGCATTGCAGTTCTGGAGGGGAACTCACGAACACCGCAACATCATCAGCGTGGTTCAAATCAGTAGTACACGGCCTCGGACACACTTCAACACCGTTGTAGCTTGCCAGTGCGTGCTTAATGACCAAATTTTTTGTGTACTTGAAGAGGGTTGGTGGTGAGGAGACGCAGTCCTGATGGAAGCTGGTGATGACGGGGAGATGCCACTCTCCTTACCACTCATAAGGACTTCAGTCCTTGTTCTGAGTTAGTAGTTTTTGGTAGACTGAACTTTGGTGATATGCCATCATGCAGCAGGACAGACCCAGGGATATTCCGATGGACAGGATCAAAATCCTCAAAAGAGACAAGACTAGCTTGGAAGTGGCACTGGCACTGCTCTAGGGTTCGACAAAGTTAGAGCTGATGACCAGCAAACACCAGTCCCTACCGGAAGTCGCACTGAATACTTCTTGTCTGCCTTTCGTTGTCCAAGCGGAAGCGTAATGCCAAGACGCTACCCGACAGTTCGAGGAGATTCATGCCACGGTGGTCGGTTATCTTCTTTGAAACCAGTCTAGAATTGTGTTGAACGTTGGCGGGTGAGGTCTTGTTGTACAGCCATGCTGCAGCGCCGCCATGGCTTGTGATCTTGTTATAGGCCAACCGGTTGACAACACTGTTGCCCAGCTATATTCGAAGATAGTACTGTTGCATATTTAGCGAATACTTGTTCATTTTAGTTGAGAGCCTACTTATTTCATCTTTGACCCTCATTTGTCGCCTGCGGACACACCGAGTGAACCGCAGGTGGTCTAACGGGTAGGTCCCGTTTTCCCCGAGTCCCAACATCTTCCGGGCTCTTGAAAGTTTGGGTCCTAAAATGCTCTGCCAATCCGACCAGACTTTTTTTTATATAAACGGTCATATTCATATGAGTAGTGTAGAGCAGCTATCATGCTGTGCTTTCGAATAAATCGCGAATAAAACTCAAATTTCTTCGTTTTTTATCCTCGTCGGTGGTACGTCTTTTCGGTTCCCCCAATGCCCCTTAATCTAAACTGGCAATAACGTAACAGACGTTCCATTTGAAATACCCAACTCCAGCGCCTGAATTTCTTTCTGAATATTGGTCTCCAGTTTGCCGGCATACATCTGATCCTTCAGGCGATCCCAAAGAAAAAGTCCGGCGTTGTAAAATCAGGGGAACTTGTAGGTTAACTGAAATCTAAAATTCGCCAAACTAATTGATCCTCTCATATTTGCCTTAATAGGTGTATTGGAGCTCTGGCTGTATTGGCATTTGTTCCATCTTGCTGCCATCATGTCTCCAGCTTGTTCTTAACTGCACAACACAAATAAGCTCTCAGCAATGCTCGATATTGGTCACCGTCCAGCGTACAGACTTATTCGATCTCAAAACAGATCAAACATGATTGCCCTTTGAAATGTAACACTGCACCAAATCGTTAGCTCCAGGTAGTTGAATTCACACAAATGGATAACCCCTTCATAGTTGCCTTGCCCTAGAAGCTACTATTCTGCTTAGTAATTGAGTCAGTCAGACGAAACTGAGCGTCATCTCCTATTATTAGTTTGGTAATAAAACGGCTGTCCTCTCTATCTATCATTAAGTTGACCGCCACTGGTGACTAGTCGACATTAATTCCGGTACCAAATGTGTCATGTGTGGATATATGCATGCGCTACACTGAAGTCCGCTAGAATTCGAGTTCACTGGAATGCTTTTGAGTGGAAGTCCCTGGTACTTCCTGAATGCTCAGCTGCACACTTTCAGTATTTTTTTCGGCTATTCACTGGACGTGGTGCACCAGCTTGGGACAAATTTCTAACAGGCAGCTTTCGCCGGAACTGTTTAACCGAGCGATATATTGCTGCTTTTGTGGATGGGGTCCCGACATGGAGAGGACAAATACATGTTTTTTTGTGCCAGAAGAATGGAAGGATGAGTATGGTCATTCCCGTGCGACAAATAATGTATTGTGCCACGTTTGTACCATGGGTGATTGCAGACGGAAACTAGGGCGAAATTACCGGTGCAACCGTTTTCAGTTCTGCAAATCGATTCGAACGGTTCCTACCTTTTTGACAAAGCCGGCTGGGAACTAGCCATGCTTCATTTTAGCTGAGTCGCAGCGGATTATGCAAAAACACAAGAGTAGCCAAGACGAAAACTGCCCAAACCTATCTCTTTATCGTTTACGAGACACTTAACCAAAGGATTAACTACATCTAGAAAACCTGAATTTGAAAGCTGAGGTCTGTTACTTTTCTATCGTTCACAAAAGGCACCCCAATTGTCCTCACTTTAACCAATAATATTAAAGTGAGACAGTACAGGTCTACTAACACGACGACGTTAGCTAAGCGAGTAGTTGCTGTTGCGTAGGTGCGATCAGTAAATCAACATACTGAGCTAGAGGCTCCCAGAAGTCTTGATTTCCGCCGTCTCCCCTCCCACCCCTTCCTGCATGTTTCCCGGACAGCCACAATAAGTAAACCAGATATGCTGTTGGTATAATGATACAAAAATGCATATCTGTCGCCTCCAACGAGACTGGGGTACTTAATCTTTCAGCTAGAATGGCTGAAGTCGCCTTGAATCGTGATGATTCTTGCAGGTCGGACTAGCGACAGGCCGCATAAAAAAACCGGTTCCCACTTAAATGTATAGGTTGTGCGTAAATTGCAGTTTGAATGGCATCCATTATGGCTGTCTGAAATTTGTGTGATAGTTACTCGGTCGATCACATCGGGGTGTTTACTTGCTGAGTTTTCATCAGCGGTATTGATAGTTGGCGTGATGATGACCTGACAACGAACTACCGTATCCACATGAGTAGTCAGACTGACTGTGTGAGTACTTGTCATGGCCGGGTCGTCTTGAAGTGGGATACGAGAAATCGTTGACAGACTCCCGGCCGAAAAACACCACTTACGCCGTTGTCACTTCTTGTGAGGACTTCAGCCTAGGCGAACTTGGGGGCGTCGTCCCAAGCAACCCCGCGACTTATGATTTGGCATTTTTCCTCCCCACTGCTGATGTAATTTGCTCCTCAGCTGGTGGAGTAATGTGCAAGTCGGTCCGACGTAATTCCCTCGTCAAAGATTGCGTTAAATTCCATAGCAGACTCGTGATTTGTCTTGACTTACTGAGGGGTCTTTCGCCTTTAGCACTTATCGCCAAACTTTTATTCTACTGCTGTGTAAATCGGTCCCTGTACGCGTTGGAGAAATCAGGCGAGTGAAGCTATGTTCCATCCGTCAGACCTAATTATAATTGCCCAGACGCATGTTTTTCTTAGCCTATTCAGTGTTGACTTGCAGTCTGCCTCGGCAGTTACTAATTTTGGCTAGGTTACCCAGTTTTAACTCCTCTCCACCCTCCCCCGTCAGTGGAAATAACAGTTTCCGAGGACACCTAGGCGTCAAATTCCGAGCATGTGACCTCACCTTTTGCACTGTGGCTTTTTAAGACAAGCGTCTGTCTCATTTGCATTTTCATCCCTCTGCGCCTCTACCCCCACCAGTGAATTCCAGATGCCGTTGACGAGAGCTCAGCACCACTATCACCTGATCCTTGATGTTGTTATTCTTTTCTTTCAGCTATTCAGCGTGCTGTGATTTCCTTCAGGCCAATAACCTTCTCTCCATCATCCGCGCTCATGAAGCTCAAGACGCAGGGTAAGTCAACACGCAGTTGCTAATCCAAGCTGTCTCACAGTTGCATTTATCATTTTTATGGGGAGTGAAAGACACACATGCACGCTCGCACGCACGAACGCACACGCAGAGAAGAGAGGCTCTGTCAGTCTGGCAGTAGTAGCACGACGCGGAGCCGCGTCATTGAGGGAAAAGCTCTCCAAAAGTAATCCCCATAAGCGTGCTGCCAGTGCATTACCGACAAAGAATAGGGAGGCCAGAATCAGCGTCCAGCAGTTATTTGTCATCTTCGTGGCCAACTGAATGTACACCCGGTCGGAACTAATTGCGGTTAGAACGCGGTTCCAGTTAATAATTAAGTCAGGCGATATGTCAATTACCTCCGCGGACCCACATTCTTTGACGGCGATCACTCCTTCCTTGCAGATGACTCACGACGCTAAGTAAGCAGGGAGCGGACGCTTTCGTGCTTTTCCTACGGTTTCGCTTTCCTGGTACAGAAAGAGATGTGGATCTGAGAGAGAGAGAGAGAGAGCGAGAGAGAGAGAGAGAGAGAGCGAGAGCGAGAAAGAGAGATGTAAGGCGAATGGGCTCGCCTGTATAGAAGATTACATCAGCTAATGCCACTCACATGCGCCTTAATTTTCTACAAGTGCAGTTGTCTTTCCCATCCAGTGCATCCGCGGATCACCGCGAGCACTGTCAGCTTCCATTCAGCTTTTGGTGCCGCTTCCATGAACTCCCGGCCGCGTTGAGTGTGTGTTGTCGTCATCGAGGTTTTGGAATCCCACATGCGCCTAGAAAAGGATTTCAACAAAATATAATGTGATAGAACTTCCACAGGTCCATTGCTGGAGTCTCATGTTCTATTTCTGAATGTCGACGCAGCTCTCTGTTGAGTTTGCTTGATTTATCGGAGACTTGGATAAGTTCTAGTTGATTATTATGTTGTTTTCTGGTCCTCAGAACTGAGGGCTTATCGGTCCTCGAAGTGAGTACACTGGGGTCTGGGTAATGGTGCACTTGCTTCGATTGGTTTCCCTGCGTTTTCAATCAGACTGATGTGAAATTTGGCCGACCTTTGATAAATATGAATGATATGACAGTTCGACCATCTCGAACGGTGATGTCCTCCGTGTGCCGTCGACGTGATGAACGCAGGACTGTGATTTGTGCGTGAATTAGTTGACAGTGCCTTGCGCCGCGTCTGTCTCACTCTCTCCCTCACTGACCTGGGCCCGGTGACAAGGCAGAGCCAAGAAGACTTGAGAGGGGCTCGGGCGTATCACTGTCCCAACATTCCTACCGCAAACAGCTCCATGCAGGACTACAGAGGAAACTGCGGAGCAGCTCGGAGTCACCCGGACAACCGTATTTACCAGTAGTCATAAAGTAACTGTGTTATTCAAACTCCGCTCCAGAGTTAGTATCATGGATATTATGCCGATATGGCCGTCCGTCATAAATCGTTATACTAAGGGCGTAAAAGGTGCTGTTGCACAGGGGGAATAGTCGTTGGGATGAATAGACGATTGCACCAGTCGCCATGTTGAGAGAGGCCGTCACTCCATTCTGAGCCAATCTGGGCGTTAGCTTTTACCCGTAACTCTTCAAAGCTATACAGAGGGCAGCGGCTGCTCCCCGGTAGTCATTTTAACTGGATGAGTGAAACCAGATGAAGGCATAAGGCGTGTCTGTACAGTGCTGGCAAATGTGTACGCGCGTTTGAAGTCTGGTTTGGGGATCGGGAGATGTCAATTTCTTTGCATAGGGGATTTATTTTAGATGAGCCACTGATCCAAGATCCGTCTCCTATCCATTTCATCGGATCTTTCGGAGACGGCACGGTCGGTGTTGAACCTGTCCCCTTTAGTAAATTCTTTTCACGCGGCCGCAACAACTATCCTCTCATGGTACCAGGGGGTGATTGTGCGGCTTGATAAAAAAGAGCTGTCGAGTCGAACTTTACGGCGTTTTTGCCTTTCCACTGATCTCGCTGACTATTCGCCGTCATCAGGCAACCATACCTCAATCCCTCGGACAGAGGCGACTTGGAATCCGCAATGAACGCTTTGATAGTTGTCTTTGTTCGGGATAATTCTGGATTACCGATTTCCCTCATACATGCGCTCTAGACTGGAACACCATGACAGACCGAAACACCCGTATTTCGTTTTGCAGTCAGGTCCGATATTGTCTCCCTCTTGGGTGAAAACGAAACGATAAATACAGTACCATAGTGATGCCAGGTTTAGGAATTGCTTTCTTTTTGTGTTTTTTTTTTACGTACACATAATTTTCTTCCAGATCTGTGACCGGTTTCTTTTTCTAGTGCCTTCTTTGCCTCAACCTAGGTATCGCATGTACCGAAAGAACCAGGCCACCGGATTCCCCTCTCTGATCACGATATTCAGTGCACCTAACTACCTGGACGTTTACAACAACAAGGGTGGGTTTATTTCCCAAACGCCCTCCGCTTGATTGGTGTGCCTACCCATTTCCCAGACATTTGTCTGCTTTTTTAACTCCTTTGAAATCACGTGAGTGTCTTCGCGTTAATACATCCATCCGAGCACGCGTCAAGTTTGCTTTTTATTGTATCACGCAGTTAGTAGAACCCACCCTGCCACTTTGCACTTTCCACGTCCTTGGGTGCTGGCTTTTTTTAAGCTTTGTCATTTTTTCTGTGCTTCCAGATTGCAATTTTTACGCGTTATAAGCGAGCAAAAAGGAGTTCTAACTTCTCTGGACAGTTTAGTGCAAGCCTTGCCGGTTTCCACCTCGGACTCCAAATTCACCTCTGTGCGGGGAGACAACTTTCTGTCGCCGCAACAGGAGTGAGGACTTTTAAGGGGGACAGCACATGTTACAGCTAATAAGTTCGTGCCTTGTAGGCCACGGGGACTACCAGAGTTCCGGAGAGGGCCCAGCAAACATGCCGGTGCTGCCTCCACCTCACACCCAGCATGATGAACAGTAAAACAGAATTAGAACAACTGGAGAAGGGCGTGCGCGTGGTGTTCGACGACCCCACGAAGGAGTCGTCATTGGAGGGTCTTGGCCACGAGGGCCGCATTAAGAAGATGAAACCGTCGCAGTCCTGACTGTGCTAGGGTTATCTCGTCAGTCGGCAGCCTTCTGGACCGTTTGGCTGTTTATAGCCGGAAAGCTCTGCGCTGAATCGACTTCTCCAACTCTGTCTCCCCCTCCCCCGCGCCAGAGGCTGTCGGAATCAAGCCGATTACGGAGGAGATTGGGTACCAGTGGCTGACGGGATACGATGAAACCCCCGTCTGATGTCTGACACATGCAAACACCCACATGCACGTTGCGTGACCTGCCATTAATAACTGCGAGCATTTCGTCTCAAAGGTTTATCGTAGATAGGAAAGGTTGTGCAGGATCGGTCTCAACCCCTGCCCCGCCCATCATTGTTTACTGGTGTCAAGGCTACGTCAGGCCGGCTGGAGGTGAGATGGGGCTCAGTCACTGACTACAAAGTTCTAACCCGTGGGCTACTTACGACGCATGTGAGTGACTCCTTTGCATGCCTGATGCAACAGCGTAGGTAGTCTTGCGGACCCAAGAGGCTCACACGCACACACACAAGTACCACGGTCTGTACGCGTCAGCACTCACAACGGCGTTGCATATCGACTGCGCACGTACCCATCTCAGTCTGACGACGCCCAACTACTGGTCACGTTATACCGAAGGTGCCGAGTTCTCCGATAGTCGGATCCCTTCAAACCACGGCCCATGAGGTGCTAGAGACATTTGCCAGGTCTTGTGTAGGTCTGATAGTGCGGTATCAGCTCGCCCTGGGACTTAGGCATTAGATGCGCGCAATAATTCGTTCGTTTTGTGCACAAAAAAGTATCTCCATCTCGGAGTGGCGACGAAGTTGGTCAAGAATAGGGTTTCGTTGCAGCACCACTTTCTCCTTCATTTTCCAGCGTTTTACAGTTGCAGAACTGTGTCAGTCAAACTTTCCGGGAGCATCCAATCCGCCGCGATTAGAGCCTGTTGCCTCGACATGATTCTTTTCAGAGCCAAATGGCCACGTACGCAGGCGCAGACGCTCCGTTTCTCGCGTGTCCGAGGCGATTCTCCGTTTTATCGTACTTGTTTTGTAGGAGTAATTCGACGGTCTCGACTGCCAGATCCTGGGGAATAGAAGTGAGGGACATGAGATCAAAAGATACCATGACCTCATTTAGCAGGGGACCTACCTCTTTAAGCTTCTTCAGCAATTGTCTTGTCGAATGGACCGTGGTGTCTGGATCATCGGTCAGAAATTTGAGACGTCGAAACAGCCATTTTGCCAGTCCGTACGTTGGAGTGCCTTTGGGCGATATGATGGACGGAAGTAGAGCGCTCTCATTGTGTACCTTTGAGAAGCCATAGATCCGGGCCAAAGTCGTCTCTTAGGATGCAGTAGCATAGCGGCTACGTCCTATAAATGCTGCAATTTCCTGTGCATGAATTACCCTTATCTGATACTGTCTCTGGTGATGGGCTTGAGCGTGAATCCGAAACGTCAAACAAATAAAGCTCTTGTTCCAGCTACCGCCTCTACCTCTGACCAACTACTTCCCGAGACTCCCATCTTTGCGTGTATCGGTGTATGGGTAGATTGCAAGCCTGCCTGCCAAGTTCTTGGTGAGTAGGGGATTTAGCAGCAGAGTGCGCAAAAGGATCCAGGGGCTGTGTGGCATGGACATTACCTGGACCCAGATGTTTGTTGCCTTTTAAAACATGCCTTTGCTAGCTATACGAGTGCAGATGGGGGAAGCCACTCGCAGGCGCAGGATGATGCAGTGGCCGCCGTTCATGTTTGCACCGTAGAGGGTCAGGCCTCACACCCACCGACTGCTGCTGCCCCACTGGCCTGGCTGCATTTTGTCCTTGCTAATCGCGACCGGTCCCAGGCCCGGTGACTGGATCCTCATCCGCTGCCGAGTTGCATGTCCCTACGCCTGCTGTCGCCCTGGTCGGGTCGCCTTTTAGCCGCTGCGCCGCGATGTGACGCGTGCGAGCGTGCGTGCACGCCCGTCTCTGTTTGTCATTGGTGGACGGATGGGAGAAGAGAAGAGCGCACAAACTTCCGACACGGTGTCGTAACGACAGAGCCTGGCAACTGGATCTGCAGGCGTGTTTGCCGGTTGCAGTAATCTTTTTACTGCATGCGCGAGCCCGAGGAGGGTGGTGGCGGCAGCGAGGGCGGTGGCGGCGCCGGTGATGGTGGTGGTGGTGGTATATAATGATTACTTCCGGACCTTCTCCACCATGCGCATTTGTAATAATCGTATGCGTGCGTTATGCCTGCAAGTGCGTGAATTGTAAGATTAGTGGTGTGAGCTTTTTCTGCGCATGATTCCATACACGATCCTGACCTCTTAAAGGGTGTGTGTGTGTGCCTTTGAAGCAATTCCAGCAAACCGTCTTTCTGCGGGCCACACCTTTGCCAAAAACTTTAGTGAAGGTGCGTCTCTGTCCTTGCCACTCTACCTGTGTAGTCACATAGGAATAGTGCTTCACCTTCCATTTCGTATGCTGTCTCGTCGTGGGTGACAGGCACCCAGCCATATCTCTCTCTCTCTCTCTCTCTCTCTCTCTCTCTCTCTTTCTCTCTTTATGAGGTCTTGACAGCGATAACGTCGTACCTCGGAATGATATGCCCTGTAATTCGATTCACAGGACCACTGAAAGTGCGTTTGCGGGAAGAATAATTCGACGCAGTCTTTTCGGGCCCTCTAGATTGGGTGGCGTTCCTAATTTCTCACCTTACTTCATTACATCGAACATCGTTCTCCCGAAATTCTAATTGCTTTCGGAAGAAATAATCAAACTGCTAGATCATCTTGGTAACTTTAAGCCCTCTACATGGGCAACATTCTGAGTCCAGTCTGTCGCTAGCTTTCCGTGACGCTTGACATAGAAAGTAACAAATTAGGTGAGAGAAACGTGTCAGACCTACTCAGAATATCGTAATATTTGCCTGCGAGTGGAATTTCGGAAGTATCAGCTCATATGTCAGCATATTTTGAAACACCCTAAGTGCGTCAATACTTGACAGAGCGGCGCGTTTTCCCCAAAACATCTTTGTGAGGGGGAGAGATATCTCGATAACATTCAGAATGCCATTCATATTTTTATACGGATGCATTTGCTCAGGTAGGTACTGTCAGTATTCGAACTCAAGGCTAGTTCATGTGAGCGAGAGAGAGATATGCTTTATTTTGGAATCATCATGACAACATTTTCAGCAAGTAAGACCCCTTCATAGTGTGTGAGAATTGGTACGAAAAACATAACACCAGAAGATCACAAGCGACATTTAATGGCCAAAAACTGTAACTGTCAACAGCATGAAGAATTGCCGGTGAATGAGTTGCAAAATTCGTGTCAGATTTTACTTTCTTCTAAACGATGTTTGCTTAATGTGGAGAAGACCTCATTATTTTAGTCCAAATAAACAAATTAGAGGGACGGGGTATCCGTGTATAATGAGTAAAATAGGCCAACGGATGTACATATAGGAAAGTTACCATGTGAATATAGAACAGAAAAAAAGATGACGGCTCAATTTCGGACGTCCGCCCACCGAGGAAAGACTTATTTCCCAATTAGTAGCCCGCGTGTTGCAATCGACGAAAGTTATCTTGCTCGACCTGTGTCGCCGTTTTGGATGACTGACATTTGTACGTCTCGGAGGATTGTGCTGTTCCGGCATATTTGAGATGTCCGGTAATTCTAATACTAGTCCTAATTGCACCCTGTCAGGACGAGCAGGTTAGAGTGCTGTTGTTGTTGTTGTTGTTGTTGTTGTCCTTACTATTGTTTGGCAGGTAACCATCGCTGCGCTCGGTTGGACTCCAGATGGACAGATGAAGCAAATAAAGCAGGCCCGGAAATGGGCCTTTGGTAGACGGTGAAGCAACTCTATTGGTAGTTTGAAATAGCGTGTGTGGATCCAGCTAACTGGCTCGGTCGCCCTTGTGCGAGTATTTACCGTATATCCCAAACTGCGACTATCACAGTAGACTGCACGAACACTTGGGTCGCAAGAACAAGAGAGGTCGGTGAAAGACATTCTCGCCCTCGAGCCTTGTATATATGGCGTTGGGAGAGAGTGCGTCTCATGAACCGACAAGTTTCGAGTGACTACTTTTTTTTTCTGTTGATATTCATGTCAGCAATTTCTGAAGAACTTGGTGGCCTCGATAGGATTCGGACCCGCGGTAGGAAGAGTAAGACTCTCACTATCTGAGCTACGGGGTCCCGACAGAGTGCCGAGCATTTAATCGCATTTTTTTACTTACAGCAGGGTCATCTTAGTTACTCAAATCTGTCAAAAGTGCCTATTAGGTGGTCATTCGGTGAACGTTCGATTAAATGCTGAGGAAATATTATTTGGGCAGTCAGCTTACTGTATCAAAATTGGTGGGTTCTCTTCACTGCAGTGGGTTCGGTGGGTAACTTAACCCAAATATGGCTAAATTCACGGCTCCCGATTGGATCTGGTAGCTCAGGTGGTCAGAACGTCGACTGTACCCTAGCCTTGCGCTTGCTTTTGTTGGTCCGAATCCCACCGAAGTAGCCGAGTTTTTCACAAGTGGGTGGAATGAATTATCCATATGTGCCAAAAACACCTATTAATATTGTAATGTCGTCGTTCAAAAAATTCCCTGACTGACATGAACCAATGGCACATGAGAACTGGGACTCCGAAAAATCTATTCATGGTGCCTACCTGACAAGGGATGCAGATTCGTTTGGAGAACCACGATTATGTATGTACAGTAGGTTGGCTAACTCATGAAATGTCAACCGAAATTCGTTTTCGTTTCGAAAAGATTAATTAAGTAGGGTTTTAAAGCTAGTCGGCCTGCAACATAATTCTATAACAGTTCAGTTGCCTCAGGATACCGGCTTTCGAATGAACTTCCTTCCGGCTGCATGAAAAACTGCACTGTGAGAAATGACTACTTAAGTAGCATGAATTTTTATCGATTTTCAGTGCCCCGAAAAGTTCAATTATATTTCATGGAAGGCATGCACAAAAATATTCATTCTTTCGCTCAATTGGTAGCAAATTACGTCTTCTTTCAATTGTATACTCGAAGGATGGACATAATTCAGTTTTAAAAAAGTTTCTAACTGTGGGACTTTTAAATACCGTGAAATGGCCGTTCATAAATCTTTATGTCTCTGCATTTACCAATGTGGCTTGTAAAATTAACAATATGAATAAAATTCACTGTTAAATTTTATGAACCCTATATGGTTTGTCTTTATTACCGTAGGTAAATGTATGGTTTTCCGTACGCGGAAAATGTATGGCTTGTAGTTTGGAAACCCTGAATCCAAGTGTAACGGTAGAGCGGGTTCAAAATTACTCGGTAATTGGAAAATTTTTTGAAAACCGAATTCTACCCTTCCTTTGACTATAAGATTGCAAGTAGACGTCATTGTCTACCGAATGAGCAAAAGAATGAATATTTTTGTGCATGCCTTCCATGAAATATAATTGGACTTTTAGGGGCATTGAAAATCAATGAGAAAAATTCATGCTACTTAAGGAGTCATTTTTACAGAGTGTAATTTTTGCATGCAGTCGGAAGAAAATTCATTCGAAAGCTGGCATCCTGAGGCAACTGAACTATTATAGAATTATGTTGCAGGCTGACTAGTTTTACAACCCTACTTAATTAATCATTTCGAAACGAAAACGCATTTCGGAATTTCGGTTGACATTGTATGAGTTAGCCCACCTACTGTATGTACGTATGTGTCTAATGTATGCATGTATGTACTGCTCCACGCTAACCTTCCCAGTAACGATCGTAAAAGAATCTCGAGCTCGCGTCAGGCCGTAGCTCATGAAAATGTGTAAGTACACGCACGTAATATGTTTCTGAGTAGGCAGTCCGACATTGTTTTGCACAGGTTATTAGCAAGAGAACTTCGAGCCGAAATTCTTCACCAAATATGCAATGTGTGTGCTGCACTTTTCCGCCTAAATCATTGTTTTATTTAACTAATAATAATTCACTTTAGTACCTCGTTCTCGCATATGGCGCCGTGGTTCGCTGAGCGTCGATTAACAGCAGTGCATGATTACGCGCAATGTCTGTCCCTTTTTGTGCTCCTGTTAACAAAGCCAACCACCTTCGCGCTCTTTTAGTAAACCCATTTTTCAGCCCTGACTAACCGTCGTTTACTTGGTGAGATACTTATCCCTTTTGGCTTGGCACTCGGGGCGCAAGTTAAACTGCTTTACGAGCAAGAATTTTGGCACGACTGGAGTGGCCATTTGTGACCCAGCTTTCAGTCATTAATCTCTTCAGTCCTCCAAAGGCGTGAGGTCTGCTCATACATAAATCCAGATGGTCGGTCTTTGAGCTTATGACGCTCTGCCTGCCGCAGTAAGGACACGCAACGTCAAGTGAGGGTGGCGTCCACTGTACCATCCCGATTACAGGACAGCATGCTCTGTTTTCACCTTCCAGTCTGCGAGAGTTTTGTATTGGACCTAGAGGTGTGGTTGTATTTCATCCTACAATAAGTTAGGCTCAAGTATCACCAGTCACGTGAACCCTGCTTTTTACCCTCGATTTTTCCCACATCCCGAAAATCGCCTTTCAGTAAGAATAGGTCCACCTCGGTAATACAGGTGGCCTTGCGCAAAATTTCAGGAAGGGTAAACATTCCCCCGTCCTAACTCTAACACTGACCCTAACCCAAACCATATCACCAACCCGCACTTAACTCTAGCCTTAAACATAAACACAGCCCTAGCCCGACCTTACCGCTAACCCCAATCTCCCTGGAAATTAGCGCAAAGCCCTCAGAATAGGGGGAGGGGAGGTTCCTATTCTCGTGTCTTGCCCGTCTTACTTCTGACTCACTACATCTCCTCCTCCTGCATGCGTTTCTGCTTTTTTTATGAGGGACGGTAACAACCGTCTCTCCGTATGGGTCTTCTAATTCTAACCTTTCCACCCTCCCTTTTTGCCCTATTTCAGCGGCCATTTTGAAGTACGAGAATAATGTGATGAACATTCGACAGTTTAACTGCTCTTCCCATCCCTACTGGCTCCCCAATTTCATGGACGTGTTCACTTGGTCCCTTCCATTCGTCGGTGAGAAAGGTGAGCACTTTTGCCCCTCTACCCTCCCCCTCCCCCTGCGTCCACCCATCCCCATCGCCTCTGCTTGCCCGGGGACTTGAGTGTGCACCCTCGGTTGCACCTCTACACTTTACCGTACTCCCGACATAGGTATCAGCCAAAAGCCCAAACACGTGTTTCGCCGATATTTTGCCGCTGCGTGACGCAGCTGCGAGGGGTTCGGCTCCTCAGTGGGTCGCCCAGCGTTCTCGGTGAAACAGGTGTCTGGGCTTTTAGTTAGTACCCATGTCGGGAGTGCGGTGTAATACTTTCGCTATATAGATTTCACAATACTTATAGCACTACTTATTTGCAGAATGGGCATTACGCGGCTATTCCACAGTAGTTAATTGTCTTCGACTCGAATAGCCATTGAAATTTCGGGTCTGACCCTAAAAGGTCATGTCCCGGAACCTTGACTCCATGTTCTGCGGTGGATAATTTCTGAAATTATTCACTCGATTATTCTCTGGAATACATATATCAGAAACCGCATAGAGAACGCTGGGGAACACACTGAGGAGCCGAACCCCTCGCAGCTGTGTCATGTAGCGGCAGACTATCGGCGAAACACGTGTCTGGGCTTTTGGTTAGTACCTATGTCGGACGTGTGATATAATATCTTTGCAGTATATATGTATATATAGGCATGTATAGGCATATGTATATATCTACATGCATACCACCTATGATCTACAGATACAGATGTATATAACATTCGAATACCAATTATTCCTGTTCTTTTAGAGTTTTGATCATTGCAAATATATTACAGACTTACGATTTGACTATTCCACCTGGTATTAAAGAACTGCAATAGTGGGGGGCTTTACGACACAGACGATACAAGCGAAAATGTGAGTTCCTCGAAGCAGTTGGGGAGCAGGAGATACGATCACTGCCTGATGTTCCGCACTCACACTCGAATCCAGCACGAGAAATTGCAGCACCTATGCAAACAGTCTGAGGATAGATTCCAAACGTCAGCCTAGTGAAAGTCTCGAATGGGGCCAAATATGTGAGTCTCAGGTTCTTGTAATAAATATCTTGTTCCAGTGATCGCGTCTCCTGCTTCCCATGTTTGACCTCTCTGTCATAGTCGTCAAGTTGTACGCCAGCCCCAGACTGCGCACCCGAAGTTCAGACCTCCCCACGTAGTGTAGGGGGGGGGAATAGTCAGTCACGTAGAGCTGGCGGGCACAGGAATGAGCTGTTCTCTTCTACTTTGGCGTTGATTGTCTACAGCGTTCGCAGGCAATTACCAGTCAGTACTGGATAAACGCTCATTTCCTTCCTGCAACGCACGTACGCACGCACGCAATCCTCATGCCAGTAAGTACGAAAATCGGTGGGCATTTTGCTTAAACAGTGCGGTAACACGCGTGTCCTTGCCTGGCATTTATTCACTGCTTATTGAATAATCTGTTGCGGTTGGCAGAGAACTTCAAGGTAAGCAAGTGTACTACTGCGAAATTGCTTTTGCTGGACAGTCGGTGTTTGCAGTTTTGAACCCGATGGGCATTGTGCCAGGCGTCCTTGCCACTTCGCAGTAACCACCTGCCCTGGGAAACATTGCTGTCCCTAACAGTCCAGGCATAGGCACTTCTGTTACAAACCTGGCTTCTATAGTTTGAAGGAGGAAAAAGCCCTCATGGCCAGACCAAAAGACCTTCGTGTGAATGGGTGTGACGTCAAGCCTTCCGCATGCTTTGGGCTAAACTCTATTCTACCAAGTTCTTGTGGCCGCTGGTCTCTGGGTAGGACTTTCGAAATGGGACTCGTGCAGCACAGACGAGGGAACTATTATGACCGACAATCAACAATGAGCACAGAAAAACCCCCTGCGCCCACTTCTGCTTTCCACCACTTCACTTCTCCTGTCGTGGGGACCCGACCGTAGACCACCGTTTGACACACACGCCATTAGTGATCTATCCTTACCACTTCCCTGATAACATAACCATGGTCCGTTGAGGCTAAAGTTTGGACTCGCGAAACAAATAAACGATTGTTGACTTGCTGTTGTTGTAAGAAGACGTGCTCCAGGCAGTGCGCCAATTTTAGGCATTTCGTACTGCTAAACTTGGAGCGTAATTTCATCCGCTGTTTGACATAGAGAGCAAGAGAGCTCAAGATTGTTGAAAGTTTCTTACACTCGAACGGGTACCCTGATCGACTCATTGCTAAAAACATAGCCGAAAGACCCTCAAGGCCGCTTATGCTGACGGCAGGAAAGAAACGGCTTTTCTTCAGGGTCCCATTTGAAGGGGCTGCACAGAACGATCTTTTAAGAAAACGCCTAACTCAACATGGATCGTGTACCTTTTCAGCACCTGACGCCCGTGTACTCTTCTCCGCTAGTCCCATCCTATACGGAGAAGGAAAGGGCAAAATCTCAGCCCAAACCGCCTCTGTGTGTATTTGCTCCTCCACCTGCTCCAGTTCGGCAGAATAGATTGGTTTCACGAGTCGGTGTCTGTGCAAAAAAAAAATAAGAAAACACCTCCTGGCGGGGCCAGGAAAGGGTCAAATAAAGAAAGTTAATATCTCTATCCTCGCGCACATGATAAACATAGACCATCGCGTAGGTGCCACGGAGGCCGTCCGAGTGATTTACAAGGTTCTGTCAAACTATCCAAAGCCACTTGGACAGTGTATCTTGGCTGCAGCAGAGGCGGCTGCAATCGGCTTACGAAAAGCGGTCCTGTGCACAGAAAAACGTAATACAGGTCCAATAGTTGCCATGGTCTAAAGCCACCAAGTCAGCCATCCCCTTGACGCCGACTGTAATTTTCGTGTTTCACTCCGACTCCCCCACAAACCCGAGCAACAGCATAATTATCTACTTGCCCGCATTCATTGGTGGAAAATCGCCATGCTCATACGTCCCGATCACGGCCGCCCATCCTTTGGACAGTCCTAAGACACACCTGGGTTGCACTGTACATTCACTTCTAACCCTCCTTTTTGCCTACCAAACACTCAATCTGTAATCCTGGTTATATTTTGCCAGATAGTGCTGCGGGAGCCTCTAAACAGAATGACTTTATACAGTAGGTGTTTAGCGTTGCCCTGTTGATGAACAACCAAAGAGTTTTGTCGTAATTAGGGCCTGTTCGCATCGGGAAGCCAGTGGATCGTAGTGCACCTTCCTCTGTGCAGTAGGCGACATAACCGGAGAAATTGACGTACTTTTACAAATACTTCCTTGTAGTTTGGAAACTGCCCCAAATGCATCGGACAGGACACCAGGTTCAAAACGAATGGTCTGCGTTCAGATAAAAACACAAAATAAACATTTACAAATCTTACGTATATTAGAAATAACATTTTTGAGAAAGAGTGTAAATACCGGAAACTCGAAAATTCGTGTCAGATGTATAGGCTACATGCCCATCAGTGATCAGTTTACTGTATGGTTAGGTGGCTAGTCAACTGTTTAGCGAGTAGCGAAGTCTGTCAAGATGATTTACTCGACTTTCGTTGAAAGTTGCTCACTTATGCATTGGTTAGGATGCGCTCGATCCGGACGAGGATGATTTTATTTGATTTCACTGGCAGGAATGTCGCAGGAATAAATGATTTCAGAGGGTTGCATGTCCATAGGTCGGCCAGAGACCAAGAGATTTTAGTATAGTCAACAAATTCAGTCATGGGCGTATCGTTTTCGGTTTTTCGATAGAAATTTTCCTTCGTAAAGTTAATGCGTGCTTCCTGGCGACAGTGAATTCGGCTGAACGCCAGGACACCCCTGAATTGTCGGAGAATATTCTACGGTTTTCGGTGTTCTCGGTCGATTGACCAAAAAGTCAGCGTAGGCAGTTTGTGACTGTTGCAAACTAAAAAATAAGACGGTTTTTGGAAACCTTAACCCTTGCAACGAGTTTCCCTATCCGTCAACTAGCTGCTTTAGGTGACTGTACAACCACTTGACAAAGTTATAAGCAGGTAATCCAATTAGGGGCACTACGATCGTCAGTGGCGCATCTGTTTTAGGCACCTTTGGAAGGCCGTTTCCAGGTGCGACAGGGGGTTACTAGTGTCTAATGAGTTTCACTCAAGCGGGCTCATTCGCTCCTACAGTTGGGAGTCTGCTTTTGTTGGGTCATCAGCTAGTGGGGTTAGGGCTTCCTCACCACAGACGACTTGGTTTGCCTTGTTGACATATTCCATGAGGACGGTTGAGTCACTTTTGTCAGCCAGTACGGCTAATATACCGCCTCAGAAGCAGCAACTCCTTGATTGGTAAAGTTTGCTGATGTGTTTGCCGAAGTAGGGCCGGTGGCACAGCTGTCCATGCCTGCAAGCCTGTTTTCGAACTCAAAACCCAACTGGCATTTCGTGGGTGCGCAATTACCCAAGGACATTCGGTGATCGCATGAGCCTGCTCGGTTATAGGCGCCTCCTTGCCAATTTTCAATGAAACTACACTCCAGACTCCATCATCGCACCTTGCCCTGCCTGCCCATACACAACTCTCCACACCACGCGCCACACCCCACAACACTTATGCCTTTTTCTGGCAGTAGGCACGTGGTCTGCTTCGCCACTGCCGCAATGACACATGCCATGTGGAAGCATGTTCTTGGATGCATCCTGGTACGTTACTTGGTGACCAGGCCGTATGCGACTCACGTTGACAGGGTGTCTAGCTTTGTCAGCCACTGCATCCAATAGAAGCGAAGAGACGAGTCCCAGGAAGTAGTCTTGAAGAAGGAGCCACGATCGCCGGGACAAGAGCTTTATTAGCCTGACGTTTCGGATTCCTACTCGAATCCATCATCAGAGACAAAAGAGCAGAAACGGGTGGTTGTTGCACAAGGGGCTGCGGTATTTATAGGATGCAGTAGCCATGCTACCGCATACCTATGAACATTTACGGCTCCCCCCTTTATCCGGGATCGTCGCACTTGGTGTGATCATTGCTTGATGGCCGACATTCGAGTCGATAATTGCTGCAATTTCATCACGTGCGTTGGATGTTGGCGTGATGATTGCTCGACCATCTGACGCACCAACCCCGGTGTTGGGACAAGTGTTCACCTCTGCCCTCCCCGAATGGTTTGTTACTTCGCCTAGGCGAAGTTTCAGTACAGAGTATGGAATGGGAAGATCGTTGCACTTGTTGATGGACTGGGGGGCAGTAAACCAGTAAACTGCACACAATCTCTGCGCCAGATGGTTGACAGGCTCGGACAGTCGACTGATGCACGAGGGAGAGGGAAGGAGAGTGAAGTCCATATTGTCTTGCCATCGGAGCCTAGGTGATAAGGGATTAGAGAGTGTGGTAGGTGCAGTTATAAGTCTGCCTCACTATAGGCCACTTTACGTGGAAGTCCGTTTCATTTTAAGCTAGTTCACGCAAAAGTCTGCCTCACAATAAACTAATTCACGCGCAAGTCAAGGTGCTGCACCCATACGGTGGGCGTCGGCTCTTGTGACGGTCGAACTGACGCAGGAAATCTGTAAAACAATACATAATAATTATCCTCAAACCTCTGACTTGCCACCTCTCAGTTTAACGTGGAATACTCAACTGCGACGTTGTTTCCCCAGACATGGTCACGTGAATCAGCACATGCAGATTACCACGTGCTTCTCCGTTTCCTAAACAGAGTTTACGTGTCAATGGACAGCGGTCATCTCCTTTGCCGCCAACCTTGAGAGAGAGAGAGAGCAGGACTCTCGAGTTCCGTATGCAGACGACTTTGTTTCGAGTTCTTGTATGATTGTCGCTGTGGGCACATGACACCTCGCTACATCTTTGATGGGGGATTCTGGGCTAGATCGCAGTTGGTAGCCAGGAATGGGGAGCGGACGGCGAAATTAACCCTAATCCTAACCTTAACCCTAACCCTAACCTCCAACTTAAACGTTAACTGTTAACCCTAACGGCATCCCTAACCCTAACCCTAACGTAACCGTAGCCCTTAGATAAAGCCGTAACTGAGAAGCCTAACAGTAATACTGAACCCCATTCGTACGCTCAAACCCTAACCGTAACACGAAAACCTAATCCTAAAGGCATCACCCTAACCTGAAAATCAGAACCCATTAACCGGTACCTTTGTCCTAACCTCAACCGTAAAACGGAAGTCAAATGGGACAGATGTGATTATGGAGCCCCACAAAATAGCCCCCGCAAACAAACCCCCAGCCACCTGTAATACGGGTCCTGGCTACCAACTGCTATCTGGCCGAATTCTGCGTTTTGCAGCATCAGAGCTCTGCATACAGTGCTATGGGTATGTGATTTGCACATGATAAATCGATAACAAATCCGCCCCACCACATCCCATTGCGACCGAATCATTCATGCTGCTGCTCTGCTGCGGTACCCGTTCCCACTCGATACACATTCAATGGAACAGATTAGTTGTTTCTACTCTGGCGTTACTGACAACAACTTTCAATGTTCCGTCTTCCTCCCCCCCCTTTTTTTTCCCTTGAACTGACCGGTATCTGTATTATAGGAGTTTACGTCAACCACTTTAACGTCTCACACAGTGTCCGGGTTTTTGCCGACTGCGGGGATGATGAGGAGAATTTAAGGGTATGATTTGGGTAGGTGGAGGTAAGGGTGGGAATAACTGCGTCGGGGGACGCACATCCACATGATTTATGCCCTGCGGCTGCATCAACAGCGACACCTTTATGTATCATTGTTTAAGACCTTTCCCTCATCACTTTACAACACACACACACACACGCTCGCAGTTAGTCTCCCCTAGTAGCCTGGTTTGGTCTAAATCGCATTCACCCCTCGTGAGCACTGAGACAAACACACACACACACACACATGCTAGTCCTGGGCGGTGCCCTGTTTTCGTCTCCACCGGGCACTTCAGCATCGTCCTGGTATTCTTTCTGCTTATTCTGTCTTGATACATGAGGGAGCATTTTTGCCCAGGGAGGCTGGTTACCCTAGAGGGAAAAGCTGGTGGTTGGGCATGCGCGACGGCTGGGTCGGCGGAATCCACGGAGCCATTGTGACAATTGCGCGCCCCTTTCAAACTTGTGCAGATTTCGTCAGTTCATAAAGGCCTTTCAAATCTATACATCCTTTTTCTGTCTTCTTGGCGATGGTGACCTCCATTGCCTTGCAGACGTTGCGTGATGTGGGCTACATTGTGAGAGGGAGAGGTAGGGGCTTGAATAGGATCACCCTAACTTCCTCTTCCCACACGACGATAAGGCCGTGTCAAGCCAACTGGGGATGAACTTTGGCGTACTGACCAATCTGGAAGAAAGCTGTCGGTTCTGCCTGCCATACGACACGACAGTTTGACCGTCGTTGCCGACGATGTCCATCATGTGCTGCATAACATGGTGAAGCAGACACGGTGACTTGCGCGCGATTTAGTTTATAGTGGGTTTGGGCTTGCACAGCATCTACCGCACTCTCTCATCCTTCCCCATCTGGACCCGGTGTCAAGACATAGCCAAGAACGCCGGAGGCGGGGAGGGCGCAGGTGGATGGCACGCTGAAGCCCGCACCTTGGCGTCCCACACCAGGTACCCTGGTCCACACAGCAAATGACCAAGTTAAAATCCTGGCCTGTCATACACGTGATAGTCATTCGACCCGCACGCATCTATCATTTAGGCGATAGCTGCCACAAGGAGCTATTGCGACCGGGTTTTCGGCCCCGAGGGCGGACTTGTTCCTTCTGCTGGTTACTATCGAAGCTACAATTTTTGAGACTCTGTTATAGATCAGGGTTGACCGCATTATCGTCATTTCACCCTCCCCTCCTTATGTACCGCTGGCAAGACTTAACCGAGCTGACTGGAGAGCAGATCAGGCACATTGACCGATCACTCATTTTGATGCCGTTGTTTTTGTGCCACAGACGTGCACTAGCCCTACAGCCGGTAAACAGGCGTCATTTATCCCCATTCCTCATCTTTGAGACTTATGACCTTACGGCGACTGGCTTTACTGGTCAACACTGAACACAGACTCGCCTTTTGAGTCGGACAGGATAGAATATCAAGTAGTTCGCACGGCCGGTTGGCGTGGCTACGATAGTGCATCATATTTGTATTTTGTATTTTTAGGTCACTCGGTAGGTCACTCGGCGGGGATTTGAGAGGGGGGGGGGGGAGAAGGAAAACCTCGCCGGTTGGACATAGTCCCTCATTAAACGCCTTGTGGTAGTGTAAGCTTCCTGTTCCTCGCAGTTTGTCCTAAGGGAAAAAGTCACCTTTCAGTTTTTTAGGTTAAGTGAATAGTGAGGTCAAGCATATACAGGCACATCAATACTCCTAGTACAACTTAATGATGTGGACTCACTTTTTTTCAATAAATAATGTTGTGAGTTGACATTTGGCGTTCCCTTCACGTGCTCTCCCAATGTAGCTCTGGTTCTTCGTCCTCTTTCAGGAGTCTTATCTTTTTTTCCATCACCACAGTCCTCAGGAGAAAATACCTTCACTTTAATGTAATCTATTGCTAGTGTGACTTCTCCTTTGCTTTCTAGTGACGGAGATGTTGGTGAATGTCCTGAAGATCTGCTCTGACGATGAACTACTCTCAGACGCCGACGACACCTTCGAGGGTAAGTTCAGCGGTCCAGCCTCTCCTCCTCCTCCTCCTCCTCCTCCTCCGCCCGCCCGCTCCCTCCTGTTTCCCTGAATTTCCTCTGTTATGTGCATAAGATTCATGCCTAATGGTAGACTCTCGTGTAACATTCAGCGTTGCCTACAGCACAACCAGGTTAGTTTGTGCTCGCCACTGGTTCTTCAGTGGCCAAAGCGCTCTTATGCAGGCATTACGAAATTGCGCGCTTTAGCGTGTGGGTGTGCGTGTGTGCGTTCCTGCGCAGCGTGCGTGCGTATTATCCGCAATCGCCACGGACACTACCGTTGTGTCCGCAGCATAATCCGCTACCTTTCGTACCCTTCACTACAATTGGCTGCAGTCCATGCGGTTTTGAAAGCCTAAACTTATTTGCCGTTTTCAGTTCACGCTCTTCTCCCCCCCAAACTTGCTCACATTTGCTTAGTGACTGCAGACAGGACGCGGGGTCCGGTTGATTGCGTGTGATAACCTCCTTTCAGTAACTGCCGCATGATCTAACACACACACACACACACACTCTCTCTCTCTAATGCTGTTTGTTTGTCTCTTTCACTCCAAAGGCTGACTTGCGGCTTGTATGATATCTCTGTTGCAGCAAGTCCTCTCTTCCATTACCCTTTGATAAGGCCTGTCTACTTAAAGGGAATCGCCAGTAGCGTTAGAGAGGAGCGCGATCCCTATCGCGAAACCGGCCCAGTAAAGGTATCTGATTTTCGGGGATCTCTCAACCGCTAATTCACTCGCCAGAGGCGACAAAGCTGCCTTAGGCTGGAGGGGTGACTTAAATGTAAACACCCACAATTCTCTCGTGACAAGACAAAATCAGAATGGCTGGTGTGGCTAAAGCCTTGGAATCTTACGGAGGTGAGGGTTGTCATCCTCCTTGAATCCAGAGAAAGGCCTGGTTAACCAGCTAGTCAATGCTCTTCCGGGCTACGATTTGACAGTGCTCTCATAGACGCTAGTCCGCGTAATGAAAGTAACCTGAAGGCCTGCCTCATTTTCTTTCCTCAAACCATCTGGATGTGACTTGAGGTCTCATAACTGGTGTGGCGTAAAGCCTCCGTTCATTATATATCACAGTTTGATGCGGCACCCGTTGAACACGTCATAACATGGATGCAGTACAGTGCAACAACCCGTTCTGGGGCCAAACTCTTCGCTAAACCACCTAGGTGTGCGCAAAAAGTGTTTTCCTCCAAACATCTCTCCTATGTTTAAAGCGACGCGCAAAAAGCACTGGTTCAATGCGAGTTCTAAAAAGTCGTTGTCATCTGAGCTTCGCACTTCGCCTTCTGCCTCCAAACTGTGGCGCCAATAGGGCTGAAATAGCGGGAAAAAAGTAAACCTGTCGCGCGGACCAGTTTTAATCGTTGTGGGTCCACGTACCTCCTAGAGGAGTGCATCAGTGTCAAATCTGGCGCGCCAAGAGGTAAGTGAAAAAACAAAGTTTATAACGGTGCAAAAGGCTCTGCTAATAACAGTCGTCCAGTTGCTTAACCGGACGCATCACAAGCCCATATTCGGGGCCTGTAGGCAGTGCGACCCGCAAAGTCGTACCCTCTGATTTTGTCACAGGGCAACCTAGAAATGTTCGTTTAATCCACACCCTGCCTAGACAACTTGAACATGTAGCTCCGAATGAGGTAAACATCCCCAAATGTGGCTAGGACGTGACCAAGTCGCCGAGCCAAGTTCAATCTACAATCACTATAAGCCAGGGTGTGATGACGGCGTCTGTTGTATTTGCCAATTATTTTTTATAGTAAGAGAGTCTTGGACAGTTTTCCTTCTTTAACCACAACTGTGGGCAGTTGGATGTTTCCCCAGCCACACTCACTTAGCAGGGTTGTCATCACATAGTTCGCTTGCGTTTGGGAAACCTACCGCTGTTTCGGCATTTGACCTGGGGGACGACCCGAAGCTGTTCGGTTTAGCAAATATTCCGTCAACAGTCAAATAAGTCGCTTGCAAGGGAAAACAGACCGTGAGGTGTTGTGTCCGTCGTTCGCAAGCGAGTTCTTTTTTAATTAGTCCACCTCCCCCCCCCCTCGTCCCCTTGAAAAAGGCAATCACGCAGTGAATGCCTGCGGTCCATTCTCACTTCTCACAGACCATAAATTTACAGTCATCGCTAGATGAACCTGTAGTCCTCGAGTCCGCGCATTCAATCGCCCTGTGCTCAGCCATTTGGAGTCCTACTTAAATGGGCCTTGGACTTGTACCTTTCACACATTAAACGGACATGAAACAGCAACTGCCAAGCTTCCCTATACCGTATTGTTGTCTGTGAAGTCGCCCATTTATATATGCTGCTTGGCGGATGTCAGTACTGAAGAATAATTTGTGCAGAGGAAGGCCAAATGCCGACGTACCTTTAAGGAGGAGTCAAATTCTGCGTACCAAACCAACTTAACGAATCCACATAGATCGTCGCTAATTCTTTGAGTGCAAAAGTCTGAAGCACTCAGACTGTGCTGGGAGTGTTTTCACCGATCGGGTTACGGAACATACTTGTGCTGTTGTACCTTTGTGTTCGCTGTGGAGCAGTCGCACAGCGACTAGTAGCACACGCAGAAGGAGGATACCGAAAGAGACAAGTGTCAGACTGGAATGGGCAGAACAGGGTAAGGGGTTTGCGGTTCAATTGGTAGAGCGTTGGATTTCATAACGCCGGATAATCAAAGAACGCGGGCACAAGGCTCAGGTGCGGCAAAACCCACGTCTGGGTGGAGCTGACTGACGAAGAATTATAGGCCGGAAATGGCCCTCACAGTCTCTCTTGTCCTTGTCGCCATTCTCCTTGTGAAGTACTTACGTTAGACACAGCCTCAGCTGTACAAAAGTAACTACATCCCCTAAGATCATGTGATTTTGCATCCTGTCCTAGACGGCTCCACAAGTGGGGGCAAATCTATGACCAACTGGAAGCTTTTTCAAACGAGGGGAGTGCTAGATATACAGATAGTGGTTTTCTTGAACTAAAACAATTGCGATCTTGGTATTTATTCGTATATTTAGTGTTTTACTTAACGACATTTCGGCCTTGAAAACAATCCCACACTTATGTTTTATGCGAAAAACAGCGCATGGCTTTAAAGCCCCCTCCCACCTAATACTTTGACGTGCAGTGTGACAAGCATGCTATGCAGTTGCCCCTCTATCCAGCGTTCGTCACTATAGTTTGCTGAACAGTGGGATAAGTCAATCAATTCCACGATAAAGTCCTAGCTTGGCTGTACGCCATTCCTCGAGTAGCCTCAATTATAACGGGCTTTGCATGGTGCTGGGTTGCAAAAGACGTGTCGCCATCTCCGCCGCCGTAGTGGATAACTGCAAAACTTGACTGATGAGATGAAGTGAGATCAGGAATTGTCCGTGAACTCCACACTTTGGATGTTGGTTGTTGAAATGACAGCCCAGAATGTGGGATCTGCGGTCGCGGAGTACAGGTCACAATGGTCCACAAACCCTGGAGCCCGCCAAGCCAGTTTTGGTGATACTTGAACCCAAACCCTCTTCCTCCTGTGCTGCCAGGCCAGGTTTTCGCCATCAACCAAATAAGAACTGTGGACAGGGCATCAATTTTTTGCGGCCCCAACTGCAACTTTTGCCCTTGAGAGGTTTCAATCCCCTCCCTCATTTTCGTTGCTCCTTTTTCCCACCCTCCCCTAGACAGTTTTGCATGCGATTGCACACACAGGCACACAGGCGATTGTCCGGGCTACCCCTCGATCCGGTCGTTTGCGCTCTTGTTGCAGACAGCCTGTCTAGTGACCGAGCTTAGTGTGTACACGCGTGCCTGGGTCACGTAGTTGTTTTTCTTCTGACCAATCTCAACTCTAGCCTCCGTTGATGATTAGATCTGTGACAATTGTGACGTAAAAGCTGACTTTAGGACATAGGGGGGGGGAGGTAGGGGACACGCGTTTGAGGCTCCACTTGCTCGCAGTACCTTCCTGGCTAGGGATCAGCCTTTCTGCGATTTCATTCCTGGAGTGTCACTGCCTCTATAATTGCTGTATAGGACCCGTGCTGTTGTACATGGATCGTTGTGCGTCGCATTGTATTGTATCCACGGCTGAGGGCGGGCTGGGACTGGACTTGTCTAAGTTCGGATAACGCGAGTGACCATAAGGGTTGAATCTGCTATTTCTGCCGCTACTACCAATTAGATCAGTCCTCCGGGCGCCATTGGCAGCCGACACGTCCAAACGAAGCGTGTCAACCGTAACCCCCACTTGTCCCAAAACCATCATAATCCGTAACCCGCTGGACGACGATTGCGTGGATCGGTTTAGTGGAGGAAGAGTTTCCCGTGGTTTCTATAATTCGAAAGTTGACGTCCCAGCTCGGCCTTGCCCAGTCACAGATGAGGGTTCGTTGTATGCCAAAGGGCATTCGCCATGTCCTTTTACCATCAGCTTTCCCATTCTGCGCGCATCTACGCCTGTAAGTGTTTCTGCGTTCTGGTCCGCAACTGACCCGATAGCCTTCTTATTTCCCAGCTGGTCTTCGCCGAGGGTCATTTCACGCGCCGGTAGTCCAACAGACGGATCCTCTCTTTCCGAATCGCTCTAGTCCAGAGACTGGGCTTGGACTGATTATAGGGACGTAATAAAGAATTCATTAATGATTTGCGGGGAGCAGTAGTTGTGAGACTTAATGACCACCAGAACAAGTCTATTAGATGTCTAGATTCTCAGATAACTTACTTGGTTACCCAGTTTTCGAAAATGGCAGATCCAAACAGAGTCCACAGTACAGGGCCTGGGAGTTTTAGGAGTAGTGTAGACTGTCGTGTTAAACGTCATTGCTAGTGTTGACGGCATGTTGACTATCGTCTCCCCTTCGCCATTTATTGGCATTAATCGATTGTCCCGCGTCTTCCCTCACGGGGAGCTTAATTGATGAACCCGGGTTCCTCACGCCTAGTTTGATCTTATGTTGAGGCAAAACCGAAGGCACGAACCGTAAACAGTCTCAATTAGTGGTTGCGTGGACGGTCTTGACGGGTCGTCGTCACCTCGATTAAAGACAACGAAAACGCCAAAGTCGAGTTCATTGTAAGCTTAGGTGACCTCGGTAGTCACCTGCGACTTTGCGTCCTACCTTCGGAATGCCAGTCGGCGTTCATGTA